ACAAAGCCCCACAACCCGACAGTGATAACTGAAAACAGAGGCAAGTTATTTCAGCTGCTGCAAACATTCGTAAATCGGCGATAATCTGGATCAATAGAAAAGTGTGGAAACAGGCCTGGGGGGCAGAAACCTCATTGATTAGCGGGTTTATAGCGGATTCCGCAGAAAAAATTGCTGCCGCCGCTTTTCCATTGACCCAGACAATAATGTACCAAAATTGTTGGGAATCCTGTAAAACGATATTCAATATACTAAACAAATTAATGGGGATTTCACAACACTATTGTGTTTCTAGGTTAGAATGCACTATTTGGCAGTCGTGAGTACAATACATAAGGGTGGACTGCAGCAAAATAATTGTATTTAAACTGGAATGTTGTGGCTAAACTATGAATAAGCATGCTCCTGAAAGTTAAATAAAATAGTCTTGAGAGAAAATATACTGTCCAGTATAGCAGCAGCCCATACCATTAGTTATTAGATAGTGCTCTTCAAGAGAGAGATAAAGCAAAATGTGGAGCAGAGTGGTAAAAGAAAATGCACCATCCTATTAATTCAATTTAATATTGTGGAATAACAAAGATTATTCATGGTCAGGGTTTTGTCTAAGTGCTTCCAGATTAATAAATGTAAAACAATATCTAAATAAAATTGTCCTTTAAAAGACAGCAAAAGCAGGAAGAACTATGTGAGCAAACAACACAAAATGAAGGACAATTCAGCAACAAGTGGCTGTTGCTGAACATCCATTCAGAGAGGCAACTGCAGATAATAAAGCTGAGTTTCTAAGGTTTAAACCTACACCTCGCTACTCCTCCTCCCAGATAGGACCCAACTCAATGATATAGTGTTTGAACTTAAAATTATCCTACTCCATGAATCAGTATGCAAGTTGCAGTCTCTAAACTGTTTCAAAGAAATGAAAATGTTGAAACATATTAAAAACTTGATTCAAACCTTGGCTTATTCTGATTTTTAAAAAATCTTTCTAACGCATTTCCACCAATAATATTTCAGAGGAGCAATGAACAGCAGCTTGAAAAAAAACATGAACACAAATAAACCTAAGTGCACTAAACAGTAACTCATGCCAATGAGAACCTTAACAATTTTAACAAAATGGAGAGGAATGAAACGGTGTTGAAAGCAATAGGAATTAGCAACAGATATGTTTGTAAATATTATTTTGCTGAATTGTATTGGCGCCAGATTAAGTTACACGCAAGAAAAAAAAGTAATCCACCCTTCAGTTAAAATCTGCTTCAGGCAAAGAATGAATGAACAAATGACGCAAATTGCATTTATTTATAATGACAGTCTGTTTGTAAAGTAATGGAAAATTTCCAAAAGCTTAGTTGTTACAACAGGTAGATTGATGTCTGCCGCCTTGAAACTTATTTCTCTGTCACTCTTAAACAATGAGATTTCCAAAATATTGAAATACTTGTGAAATGCAACATCCAATATTGTTCACAAATTGATCAAATGCTGAAAGTGACAATGACCAATTGCTGAAAACCCCATAGTTATTGAATTTTTGGTTATTATTACAGCTATTTTGAAGCAAAAAAAATGCTGCTCTATGCTCTCATATTCATTCAGGCAAAATACAACATTAAAAAACAAATCTATTGATGCAGGTGATAAGGAATGGACACAATCCAAAGAAATCCCTTTGGCATCAAACCACTTATTTCCTCCGGTATGCAATTAACAGGCAATATATCAGAGCTCTATAACTTTCTTTTTGAGTATATATTTGTTTAAAACAACAGAAGGGTTAACCTTACCATTTAGTAGTTAATAGATTTTGCTGCTTCAGAAGCCATGTTCATGTTTTTTATTTGAACCCAGTGGAAATAGTCATAGGCTGAAGCACTGGATTGTGAGTGCTCACAAACGCAGCAATTTAGGGTCATGTTTTGGGACTCCCAGGTGTAACGGTGTGTTTAAGTTGTAACCTAATTATGTTATAGTCCACTCAATTATTGAAAAGACTCCCCCCACCACCCTAATTGTCACTTTCTTTACTGCTGCTTGAGATCATACCAACTGTGGTAAATTAAGTGATTAAGTACTCAATTTAAAATCAGAACCAAGCTGCTTAACCTGTGCAAATGAGCCCGGAGTGCAATATTGTGGAAATTAGTCAGAAAGTGGCAATTAAAAGAAAAAGAATGTCCAAGCACATATAGAGTAAATGTTTCTAATTATGATTGGCTTCAGCAGCCCAGAGCTGAGGAGTCACAGTTCGAGCTTCTGTCTCTATCCATTAAACAATCTAAAAGCCACACACACACACACACACAAATAGTTCATTTTTTTTCAGAGAGATTCTCATCTTGGGTTTAAAGATAAAAAAAACTCTACAACATAGTCATGCATATTTCATACTTCTACTAGTCTACTACAATTTCGGTTGATGACCTGCCATGTCTGTTTTGACAGATACAGGTCATTTCTGTAATTGCAGTGATTGGTGGCTGCTGTCCAGAATTAAATACTGTACTAAACTGCTGTTTACTTCAAGTGTTCATATCTAATTTTAAGATGGGTACTTATTCCAGTCTAGTGTCTGAAGACCCATGTGGTTGATGAGTTATGTCATCAATACAGATCTCACTGCAAAACTATCATCGACAAAGTTATTTACATTATAGCACATTAGTTTCACAAATACAACTATTTGGAGAGAAAACTGAGATAGGCCTAAGGTTATCCTGTTTGAATGTGGTTGAACCAAATACATTTAGCTGGGATGGGGTGGGGTGGGGAAACACAGGCTGTAATATCAGAGGTCTGACTAGATTAAGCCAAAACTCAAAGAAGTTGAGATGATGATGTCTCATTAATTATGTTTAAATGAGCTGACTTGAGCACGGAGAGAGGGTAAGATTTTTTTTAAAAAAGGGAAAGATTAGCAATTGCATTGTTGAACGTCAAGATGTAGAATCTCTTTTTATGTTATAACACAGCAACAAGTAATGGAAGCAAGGACAAGAAATATTGATTACTAACATTAGCAATGCTCTATTTTTAACAGTACGACTCTTGAAATGCATTTTGCACATGCTTTTTCCTAGCAATACTACAATTAGTAAAAAATAATCTTTATAATAGAGCGCATGACATTAACTGAACAATCAACACTGGCTCAGTTGATAAGATCTCAACACAATGATTTTCAAAGAAATCCGTTTTCTTTCGGGCTGCTGTTCTTTGAAATGTTATCAGTTATCAGAAGCTCTATTTCAAGATGTTTCTGCTTAGGAAAAATTTGTGTCTCTTACCAGACCCTGGTAAATGGAAACTAGTAGTTCTATTAACAAAGAAGGGAATGACCCCAGTGAAAAAAAAGCTCAGGTCCCTTTTGAGCAAGATGTAAAGTTACTGACAGCTGGAGCTCCTGCTTGTCAACACTTTAGGACAGTCCCACGCTCTCTCAGGGAAGCATCGGAGAGGATGAAGTTTCAAACTATTCTTTTGAAAACAAAGCCAAGCACTGACCAAAAAGCTGAAGACCCTTTTGCATTGGATGTGGCTTTGTTAAATGTGCACAATCGCAGGAGATTTTGATTACTACTTTAGGCTATTTGGGTTCTCTTCACGGATTTCTCCTGGACACCTACGCCGTTCTCTGGGACAAAGTTCTGAAGTTTCTGCTAAAGTTACATATCGAAAACTTTTCAAAATCTTTAGATTTACTTTTACAGTTTGAATATATGATTTCCCTATCCTTTATCAGTAGGCTCCATGTCTTGAATTTGAAATGTAATTGTTTTAGTCAGCCAGATGTCTGACTCGGGTGACATTTTGGTGATCAGCGTCACTTATTGTTGAAAGTAAAGTTCAACTTTTAAGTCACAATTTCCAAAAATTACCTTTCAACTAATTGTATCATCGCATTGTTCAAATAATGATGTATTTTAGATAAATCACAGGCAATAAAATCAAATTTAGCAATTAGGATTATAAGGCCAAACTGGCTGTTAATAACAAAATCAAATACAACTCCAACAATTCAACATATAAACCACAGCACCCCCCCACCCCACACTCATTTATATTTAATTTACTTTTGGTAGCAACCTTCAGTGCTAACTATGTAGAAACAAACTTACAGCTGTCTTCCCCATGATTTGTTTACACATCCTGTGTTGAAACAAAAATGTACCAATGTAAACTCATCACCATATTTACCTTCAGGGGCCTAATGGTCAAGAGCTCTAATGGACACTTTTAGTTGTGGGATTTGAGTCCATCTAATGTATATATAGCTCATGTTTACCATCCCAAGAAGTTATGTAAGAATGATCAAAATCTAGGTTCCTGATGGAGCTAGTTGTTACAGGACAAGCAAAATGCTATGCTTCAATTTCATTTACTACCTCCTTATTTCAATGAGGTTTTCCAATATAGTTAGCATTAGATAACGCACCTTCAACTGCAACAGTCATCATTCATCACCATTCGTCAACTTTCAATGGCATTCTTTTTGTTCGACACATTGAACGGAATCAAATAACAAGGGATGACGCAAAATGAAAATAAGCGAGAAGCAAGGAGGGAAGTCGGGGGCACTTTTTCCACCCATCGGATATAGGACCCACAGCAATGATACAAATCTTGTCGAAGTCACCAATTATGAACTTTCACTCTTAAACCTGTGTCAACTCAACCTTTATGCTGCCTTTGACACCGACAACCATTCTACCCATTCATGGTTGTTCAAGCATGTCAGCATGGCTCTGGTGGTAATATTCTCATTTCAAGGCAGAAGGTTGTGGGCTCAGGCCTCATGTTGGGACTATTGTCCAGGCTGACACTCCAACATGCTCTTTAGAGGTATAGGCTTATTTAAAGGTATAGACTACCATTTAACTGAGGGCTGTCATTTAACATCGGGAACTAGATTTCAAGACAGTTTGAAATATTCAAGCAAATCTTATCACCTGAATTAGTTTCAAGATTTCACAGAATTTTTTAATTAAAACCAGATCTTAGTGTATTTCAAATTTATTTCAGTACAATGAATAGTGCCACTGTAAATCTCAGAGTAAGTGATTAATTCATTATACATCCTTGTGCTACTTCATTCGTAATATACAAACATTGGTAAAAACCTTTTCCTTAATATGAATGACAAGAATTATAGTTAAGAGAAAAAAAATTACTATAAGCCACCATAAGGTGTATATTGAAGAAAATGGACTATAGTCATTTGACACGCTGTAAGAAATGCTCATAAAATTTTTTTTACATTTCGTATTAGGTTGCATTAATAGTTGTTAGTAGTAAAATGTCAAAGAATGAAAACAAATCTGCAAGAGTGACCGTAAAAAATTTTTAAAAAAACATTTCAACAAAATATAATCTAGGCTTAAAGATTACACAATCTTTACATTAAAAACAAATAAATACATAGAAATGTAATGAAAATGCTGACACTATGTATATTTTTTTAATCTTGCTCTAGTCCAAGTGTTTCCAACAATAAGATTGTCCCTTGGTTTGATGACCACAGGTGGTTGTGGGTTACACAGCCGAACTGATATTCTATTCTTCTTAGAAGTTACTTTTCTATTAACATCTTCTGAGCATGGCACAGGAATGGGCTTCCATGGAATTGGATTGCAATAGCTTGGAGCTGGATTGGAACTCCCATCATAATAGCCTAGAACACAAGATTCAGAGAATCACTAAAATAAGTATACAATACCTTAAAAGATAAATCAAATTTATTCATGACACTCAAAGGAATTTATGTACACCCAATTGTACAATCTCTTCTATTTTCAGAAATAAAAGGCTGGGTAACATGTTATTGCTTCAATGTACTCTGCCATGGAGCAATAGGATTAATATCTTCGCCCACATGTGGTTCTGATTTAAGCATACTGTCAGGAGGGGATGAATAGTGAAGACTATGCCCTTTCTTACAGCAAATGTAAAATAAATCCCAAACGAATATGGAACTGTGAGGAAATTGAGGAAGTGTTGCTTTCATACATCCCAAAATGTGAAGGAAAAACAAATTTCTATACTCCAAAAAACAAAATGGTCATTTCTTCCTCTGTGTGAGAGAAATGGAACTGAATTTTGTGATGCTGTAATGTAAAAGCATCAACCAACAAGGAAATCATGACCTTTTGAACATCTTCACAAAACATTGCTAAACACTGAGATATATTCATCAAACTCTGAAGCACGTTAAACAGCAGACTGGACTGGTTGTTATCAACTAAATAAGGGATGACAGCAGTCAGCAGGGCCAAAGGACTGCCACAGGGCAGGCACTTCGATGAAGCACAAGAGCAAAGTGCAGCAAGCAAGCAAGAACAGCTGTGAAAAACAGATTGAACTAAAGGTTGTTGATAAGAAACCCAAAATACCCAATACTGAGGCTCAGATAAAAGACAAAACTGAAGATTCTGTAATGTATGTACAAAAAGTATTTGCAAACACTGTGGTGCCTCTCAGGCAGACTGAAATTTGATATGCACTTCAAGAACCAATTTAACACAGGCCGAAGGAATTGAAGGTGGGATCTGATGTGCTGTTTGGATAGATGTGGTATTTGACAAATGCATTCCCAAAGTAAAATAATATTTTTTTCTATAACTATAAATACTCTTGCCATCCAAATCACAATTTCATATAACCAGATTATATTTTGCCTCTCAACCAATTTCCCCTTACCCCTGCTGAAGACTTTTGCTGCTTTTTTGTGTGTAAGAATAGCACAAACCTGTCAGTTTCCCATTTGCATAGCCAAAACTGCTTGGGGCTGTCCGAGGTCTGCTTTTGGCTTTTTTTAACCACTCTTTGAAAACTTGGTTGGCCTTTTCCTTTTTTTCTTGTATTTTAGCTATTCGTTTTTCTTCATCCTCCTAAACACACAAGATAAAGAGAATACTATTTCGATGTATGGTTATCGCAGTGGATCAGACTCAGGTGGATCAGAAAAGATTCCCCCTCCCTTGAATACAATACAAATTTATATAGCACCTTTCAAAGTTAGAATGATGTCCCAAGGCAAATGTAATGTTAAGTGCAAATAAGTGCTGCTTACCATTTATTTTGAGTAAAAAAAACAGTGTACGATGTTGACCAGAGAACATATGTGCAACCCACTAGCTTTTACTAACTATAGTTCAGAAAATGAATTGGCGGTTCTTTTGAAATGATACTGCACGATTTTCAAATGCTAAGTGAATGAACCACGAACACAATGCGAGTTTCAATGAGATGATTGCTCAGACTGTAAAAGATGACACACGATTCCACAGAAAACATAATTCTACCTTTTCTTTTCTTTTATGCTCTCTTTCTTGCAGCTTTTTTTTGTTAAGCCATTCTTGAAATTTTTCATTTGCTTTTTCTTGTGCTTGTGCCCTTTGCTCTTCCTTGGCCTCTTTTATCTTCTTCTCCTTGCGAAGCTTCAATTCGTTTTCCAACTTTTCCTGCAGACAATCCATAAACTGTTAAAATAGGGGCACCAAAACACAACTCAAATCTATTTCTTAATGTACGTAAGCTTTCTCCTCAGTGTGTCAAAAACTATAGCAATCACAAAAAGTCCTTAGCTTCAAAATCTTATTTTCACTGCAGTGAAACGTTGAATAACAGTAAGAGTGCCATTATACTAGCAGCAAAGATTGATTCTCCACAAGCACAGCACCTATATTATAATTTGATACAACATTCAGTTTTATATATTTCCAAGAGATGATCTAAAAACTTATTGTATAACTGATTTCCCTTTCTGACAGAAAAAACTCTCACAATTTCAAAGCATTTAATCTCATAAGAGATGAAACTCATTCTTAACTGTGGAAGACAGATTTGAGTGACAGGCAGATATTGGATCTAAACCAATACCAATTAGTTTGAAGATTGGCAGATGCTTTCTAAATATTTTCAAACGCTTTCAGTTAGTCACAGTATGAAGTATAATATTTACAGGAAAAGTTTAAATTATATTATGATGTTGACTAAATTTTCTGTTAAATAAAAACAATTTTTGAAGTTTGATCTATTTCCTGTCCAATCGGATGGACTTTTTGGAAAGCCCTGGGGAAAGGTTTACTGAAACTGCAAGTCAGATGATACTGAATCTGGCCTTCAATGATCTAAGTGCAGAATAAAACAACAAAATGAAAAGGCCTCAACACTAATGTGAATATATTGTATAAATACAGATGGTAGTTAATAGCAACTGTTTACCTTGCAGCCTACACACTGCAGGCAAGAATTTTAAGTTTATTTTAAAATGAATAAGTTTCACTTATTAATCACAAGCTTGAGTCTCCATTCCATTGATCATTGACAGCACTGATTCTGGAAGATGTCAGTTACCAACAAACAGCAAAGTTCCTTTTCTTACAATGCTGCTTCAGCAAATACGTGCAGCATTAATGACAGCAACTCTTGACGATCTTCATGCAGACATTTTTAATTTGAGGAATTATAGATTGTTAAAAACAGATTACTATTTCAATTAATATTTAGAAATGTAAACTTTTTTTCCAAATCGAGTTTGCGATCCAGTTACACTCCAAAGTTTTCAATAATTAAATGCAATTTTCAAACTAAGTTGCCAATCTAGTTTTAGGAGCTCCATACCTGATCCAATCAAACGACCTGGGACTACCTATATTCAAATATGCAATCCTTTTCAGTTAAAAGTTCCTGGCAAATTCTCTAAATGGTTTTAATAATGCTGTCAAAAAACAATACAGCAGAACACCATTGCATTCACTTAGATCAGAATACGATTTACTGCAGTAACATACTATCAGCCACTCCAGAGTGCAATATATATTTGTGAATGTAATGACATCATGAATTTCAGTTGATTTTATTAACAATTTGCACTTACATCAAAAGTCAAAACCCTTAAGCCTTTGAGGAATAAGCATTTGTGTTTTCAATATGAGCTTCTGTATGTGAAAGCAACATCGCAGGCATCACAAAACCTGTTACTAAGAAAGGCACAGGGACAAGATAAGACATTTTTCACCTTCTCATTCTTTCTCTGAACCCAATTTTTGTGCATTTCGTGTGCACGAATTGTCTTCTCTTCGCGTTTTTCTTGCTCTATTAAGTTTGCTTCCTTTAATATTACTTCCTGCAAAGCAAAAATAAGTTTTCTCAGTAATTAGCTTAGTAATACAGAAACTCGAAGTTTAACCTGAGTGAATCTCCCTTGTGGCAAAATTCAAAACTTTCCTGCCTGTTGGTTGAATATTTTGATTGGCTCAATCAATGTGACTGATAGAAGATGAAGAATTGCTTGGTTTTTGATCCATATTTAAGCAGTACCTCATGAAGAAATTCTCTCAATTTGTATTCATAGCCAATCTGCCTATAGTTCTTTTATTCCCACTGACAGAAGAGTGATTTGTGATCTGAATTCTATTTGGAAGTCGGTTTACGCATTTTGTGAGTTGTAATTAATTCTTTCCAAGTGAGCAATTCCCATTGCTTTTTAACCTTTTGACTAGGATTAAGCATAGTATAGAGGAGCAGTCCCACATTATTATTAGTAGGGTTATTGTCAGCCATTACTGAGCCTCAAGAAGTTTCAAGTAAGCATGTCAACTGCTATAGCTGTTTATAAAGCCTCTTTGAAAAAGTTATTAATGTTACCAGAATCTCTTTAGTTAATTAAAGACTTGTTCTTTGGAACAGAACTGATTTTGCTTTCAATAAACAGACAAAAAATAGACAAAAAGCAGGAAATAGCAAAATGTGATTACAATAGGTTGGAGTTCTCTCAGAAAACACATTCAAAATGAACTAGTTTGCAATACAATACCTACAAAGTAAGGAAATTACTTTTGATACACTGTAACTGCTGCTATAATTTTATAGAACTTGATATTGCGCACTTAGTTGAAACTATAAACAAATTTTTGACTGGCTAAACTGGATGAGATTTACCAAGATGTTGTATATGAACGGGTTACAAATAAAAACTAAATTTATCAAAAAATATAAACATTACTCTCCCATAAAGTTTGTTTGCAGTATATGTAAACTACAGTGCTTGATTTTTAAATAGTTCCTCACAAATTTTGAAAAATAAAGAAGATATACTTGGCTATATCTTCTACATGAATACCAAAGTTCGGAAAACAGATTAACATTTTGTGAAGTTGGCATAAGATGCCTATTTTAGGCTGACAATATTAATATAGAAAAGTCCCAAATGAAATCACTGACAATGGGATGACACAGAGGCATTGATTATTTTCTGAAAAACGGTTTACAGACTGGCTTTACATTCTATACCTGGATACTATGTCATCACAAAATCATGAAAACAATTAAAGCACTTGCCTGATGAGATTTGTTTTGCATTTCACTACGTTCTTCCTTTGTTTTCTTTATTAGCCACTGCTCCCAAGCAGTAAGAGATATGTCTTTAAAACACAGCTCACTTATGATTTCCTTTCTTGTGGAACCTCTAAGTCTTCAGAGCAAATGCATTACATATATTTTATTAGAGCAACACAATATAGACAGTACTGTTATTGCATACTGCACAAAAACCTTGTTGCAGACATTAAGTCAAGAAATGTAACAATCCTTATAAATGACCTATAATAATAATAAACCTTGCATTGGATATCACGTCTTCGAAACGTCTCAAAGCATTTCCCTTTCTATACTGTAAAGTGAACTGACTGTATATTTTATAACGGAAAATGCCAACGTTGTACAAAACAAACAATTATCTACGAAATTCATCTTGCCAAGCAATGATATACATGATCTAATATCAAAAAAACAAATGGCAAAAGTAATTTGGTAGTGTTCCAGATATACTAAAATTATAAATTTTGCCTAAATAGTTTTGATTCTCATGACAAATTAAATGCAACAATCACTAAGCAGTTCTATTTTCAGTGGCGTGTCAGATTCTATATTGTTTTGTGACAGTGGGTCCTGAATCACAAGTCCGTAAAACATTGATCAAAAACAAACAATTGGCTGCCACGTTTCGCTCACAATTCACTTTACAATATATTCTGTGAAGCGCTATATCAAATGCAAGGATTATTTATTTTGTACTTTGTATTTTTGCTTCTGTGTTTTTTGTATTTTCTTTGCATTTTCTTTCATTACTTCACCTTCAAAAGCTACGCCTCAATCACCCAAAGGCAGCAACAACAACAACTTGGATTTATATAGCGCCCTCCACGCCAGATGGCGTCTCAGAGCGCTTCACAGTAAAGAATCACGGGGCCGAGCCAGGGGGAGGGGAAGGAAGGTGACCAAAGGGGTGGTCGAAAAGAAAGGTCTTCAGAAGGGACCTGAAAGTAGGAAGAGTGCAGTGAGGAAGGGAATTCCAGAGCCTCCTGGCACAAGTTTTGCAATTAGTCAACAGTACTTTTCACATAGTTTTCTTACAACCAAACAAAAAAGTTAGTATGATATTGGATTAGCCTGCGCTAGTTTAGAATAGTTGTAAGGTGACATGGTGTACCTGGATGTAGATACTGTCCGCCTCTTTGAAGCAGTATCTGTCAGTCTGTTTCCTGTGCATTTTGCTCTTCTGCTTAAAGGTCTATTTGCAAATTTGTTTGGAGCCTCATCCTTTTCTTCAGATTCATAGCTGCCGTGGTAAATCAGAGAAAGCAGCGAAGAGGTGGAATCTTCCGAACAGTCAAAATTACATTTCCTGTGCTCGTCTTCTTTTCTTGACCAATTGTTTTGCCTACAAGGGGTTGAATGATAGTTTAAAATTTTCAATAAGTTTACAAGGAAAATTATATTACACAGGGCAGCATATTATAGGCACTTGTTCAGCTATGTTGCTATCCATAATGCTATCCAGTGGTCACAGTATACTACTGTCTCTTTAGGGAGCCACTTACAAACCACAAAGAGAGACGAAGAAATCAGATGCACAAGAGCACAATATGAAACGCAATGTGAAAACATGAAGTGATCTACCTAGATTCTCTTCGTATCTCTGGTGTAGAAATTGTTGGTTTATTTGAAGCAGGATCTGTCCCTATGCTTGAAGTAGATTCTTGAACTCGGTCTGAAATTCTACATGTTTGCTTATTTGGAGCCTCATTTTCTTCATCTTCACTTTCGTAGCTTTCATGATAAATGGGAGAGAGTAGGGAAGAGGTGGAACCTGCTGGAGAAGACAAGTCACAACTCTTGGGCTGGATCTCTGGTTCTAATCTACAACTATGGTGATGTGAATCTGAATGGCAAGTTGTGTTTTGGGAAGTTTCCTGGTAACTTGATTCAGAAGACATTCTTCAGTTACTCCACAGAATCTCCTCTGGTAAAAGAAACACAATGAATGTCAAGATAAGGCTTTCAAGAGATTATACCAACCATATCCATCAATTTTGCTTTCAAATTTTAATCAATAAAGTTTACCCTCCCGATCTCAACCCGCAGCTCAGGTCCAAATGTCTGACCGGCCAGCTTCTTGGGACGTCCTCCCAACATGAAAGGCGCTATACCATTGTAATTTGTTGTTAAAGCAGCAAATCGTGTTTAGAATGCAGAAATCTCAATATGTTATAGAAGTATTGTCAAGTGCAGTGTCTGTATCTATAGCGTAATGACAACAAGAAGATTACATTTGTATAGCGCCTTTCACGTCGGGAGGACGTCTCAAGGATGCTTGACAGAAAATGCTGGACAGAATATAGCATTTCAGGGGTTGATTCTTGATTTGCACACATGCAGAAACAGCATTTGAAGAGTTCGCCATGTGGGGATAATTTGAGTAAAATGAAGGTTGATTTAATTATTTTTTATAAATATTATATTTTCTAGGCAATCTGTCTGTGGCTCTCCTAGTCCCTGTTCAATAAGGAAAGATGTCTGGATTCCAAGAAAATAATGAATCCTTCAATAATGATAATCATAATCCTTGCATTTGATATATCATGTCTTCAAGACATCTCAAAGCCTTCACAGATTATATTGTAAAGTGGAGTGACTGTGCATTTTGTGGGCGAAATACGGCAGCCAATTGCGCAGAGCAGTGTCCCACAAACAGTCGTGAAGTGAGCAACTAAATTATTATTATTTTTTGGACGGATTATTACTCCCCGGAAAGCGATCTGCCAATCGACTAACAACCAGGTTCCTACTTACTGCTCAGTAAACAGAAGAAAAATACCTGAATCAACATTACTGATGTATAATGATAAATGTACAGTGATCTTTAACGGCTTATTGTCAGTCTGTTAAGTGCAATTTTATTACACACACACACACAGCCTCACCAGTTTTACCGTATATCCATCCCCTGAAGCGATTTGAGGTGTTGCGACTATGTGATAAAAGGCGGACGCTAAATAATAATCCAGTCCCGCACCAGACCTTCGCGACCACATCACTCCCACCCTCGCTCGCCTCCACTGGATCATCCCATCCCCCAGAGGATCGAATTCAAGATCCTCATCCTCACCCACAAGGCCATTCGCGGCCTCGCTCCCTCCTACCTCTCCGACCTACTATCCCCCAACCTACCTGCCCGTACCCTCCATTCCTCCGGCTCCGGTCTGCTCCACATCCCCCGCCCCAACCGCCCGACCATCGGTGGCCTTCGGCCTCTCAGCCCCGAGGCTCTGGAACTCCATCCCTCAGTGCCTTCGCCGCTTCCTCCCTTTCCTCCTTCAAGGCCGGTCTCAAGACCTTTCTCTTTGACCTTCAGCCTTCAGCTCCCCTCTCGACTCTCTACCCCCTCCTCACTCCCTCCCTTCCCTCCCCTCACCCTGACCATCTCCCCCTCCTCACCCCCTCCCTTCCCTCCCCTCACCCTGACCATTTCCCCCCAATGCTCGGGTCCCGACCCAACTGTCCAGGGCCTTGGGACGTCCTCCCGACGTGAAAGGCGCTCTATAAATGCAATCATGTTGTTGTTGTTGTTGAGTGAGGGGCGGGGCACAAGTCGGTACCGCCCCCTTTGTAAGTGACGTCAGCCCAGCGAGCTGCCAGCGCTCATTTCGAAATTCACTCAATCCTCACCTTCCTCCTCCTCCTCCTCCTCTCGGCTCTCGATCACCGACGGGACGAGCGGCGCTTTGATCTTTCTTATTTTTTTCCCTCTCTCTCTCTCTCTCTCTCTACTCTCGTCCTCCTCAAGGCTCCCCCGCTCTCGCTGCGCCGCCGCCGTTTGCCGCATCAAACATGGCGCCGCTGCCCCCCCATCCACCAACCACCGCGGCAGGGGCGACCGTTACCCGTGAGCCTCCACCTCCGCTCTCGGCCAATCGCAGCGCGAGCGAGCGAGTTCGAAAGCGCCGGCGTCGTCACCCGCGTGGCAACGCGTCGTCACCCGCTTGGCAACGCGTCGTCACCCGCTTGGCAACGCGTCGTCGGCGGCCAACAATCACATCACAAAGCGCTGGAGCCGCCCCCAGAATCCTCCCCCTCCATTACACCCGTTACAACACCCCCCCGTGCTCCGTGGTCGCGAGGCAGAAAGTCGGGGGGTGGGGGGGGAGGGGGAGATGGTGGGGTGGGGGGGGGGGAGGGAGATGGTGGGGGGGGGGGGGCTGTGGGTGGGGGGGAGGGGGAGATGGTGGGGGAGCTGTGGGTGGGGGGGCTGTGGGTGGGGGGGGCTGTGGGTGGGGGGGAGGGGGAGATGGTGGGGGGCTGTGGGTGGGGGGGGGGGGGGGGGGGGGGGGGGGGGGGGAGATGGTGGGGGGGCTGTGGGTGGGGGGCTGTGGGTGGGGGGGGGAGGGGGAGATGGTGGGGGGGCTGTGGGTGGGGGGGCTGTGGGTGGGGGGGAGGGGGAGATGGTGGGGGGGCTGTGGGTGGGGGGGCTGTGGGTGGGGGGGGCTGTGGGTGAAGCCCTACCTCAGGACTTGGAATCACGTCGTCTTATCTAAGCCGACGCTCCAATGCAGTGCGAGGTCCCTTACGCCGGTTCAGGTGGACGTCGCAGACCCCCCCCCCCGCCCGCCCCCGCCCCGCGGCACCGTTCGGAAAGAGTACGGGAGTTTCTCCCCCTCCCCCCCTCGGTCTTGGTCAACGCAGCCTCGGAATAACATTGGGATCGCTCCGCGGGCGCGACGTCGCCGCGTGCAAACTGGCGGCTGCATTTCGCTCACAAAATGCCCAGTCAACGCCCCGCGAAGCGCTTTGAGATGGGACGAGGTGCTGCGCGAATTGCAAGGATTATTACTAATGTAACCCCGTCCCACCCAGTGCCATCCATTCCGCTGTAACCATCTACTCGCCTGTACCCAGATCTTCCCCTCGAGCATCTACTGCACCCAGTTCCCATCTCCTCCACTGCGTGCATTGCCCCAGGGATCCACCTGCTCCACTGTAACCCAGTCCCCCAGGTATCCACCAGAATCCCCCCCCCACTCCCTCCACCCCCCTTTCCCCCAGTGGTAATTCTCAATTCACGCCCAGTTACCGATTCACTCATCTGTAGAAATCCCTCTTTCTATTTACCCTCTCAAAACCATGTAAAAGGAACCCCGGCAGCAGAAAAGAGGCCAAACTGGACACTTATTTCCCATCAATCAACAAAGTCGTCAAGGCTCACTCGGCACAGTTTAAAAATGTAGCCCATTTTTTCGTGTCTCACTGAAAAATAAACACAGCTGGGTTATCTGTAAACGGGTTTGCAATCCATCTGGTAAACATGTCCGGACAATGAAGGTGGGTGTCCAAGAACGAGAGGTGGAGACAGAAAAGGATTTGGGTGTGATTTTCGGATCATTTACTGAAACTTTCCAGGCAAAGTGAAGCCGCTGTCAGCAAATACTAATCTTGAGGATATTTCACAACAAGTCCAGGTAACTTGAAGAGTTTAGATAAGCGTTGAACAGTGGGGAATGTATGGCTGATGCGTTCATCAAAATAAGCTGTTTCAATGCAGAAGAATGGAACGGAACGCTTCCATTTAAAGCACCCAGCAAATAACAATAATGTCCAAATAGCAATATCCTGACATTGGCCAGACAAATTGTAAGATCTGCTCCTTGGAAGGAAGGAAAAAATATCTGGGTTAATCTTCCTAGATTGCTGTCATTCATGCCCTTGCAATTGACAAGACCAGGAATAAAAATGAGGGTTCCCGCCAGTCTGCTTGCCAGCAAAGGGGTCATGCCACAGGCGATTTTATAAAGCTATGGACTTAAAAATGGAAAGCTCAGAAAATAAACTTCCACAAGTTGACACAAGTTGCGATTTCTTTATGTTCAACAAATTGGAATATCTTTTCACAGGAAAATCTAATGACTCAACGTTAAACCACGGAAACTCTGTATATTTCTGCATGCACATTCTTGAGAATACCAGGTTACACTGGATCTTAACCATAGAATTATTGAAGGAATCTATTTAGGGAATATAAAACTCAATCAAAATGGGTTTATGTGAAGGAAATCTTCCCATTTATATGTGGGACCATATGCTTTGAATTTGTATCCATAGAAACACATTTCTCAGCTAATTTTCAAAATGTATGGGAGTGGCATTTGCCTTTCTGGTTAAAGGATTACATATGTACAGCTGCAGGGTGAAGTAAAAAGGTATGGTAAAGGTTTTGCATTTGGTAAAAAGAAAGGGTGAAGATATAAGCAATTAATTAAGTTTGCTCCTAATGTAAAAACATGTCTGCCATCACTGAATGGGATCTTGTCAAAACTGGGTATGAAAATTGTATATACTGTACATGGGCATGAGCAGAACTTGTGTTTCAATACACAAATTAAATCCTTAATAATAGACCAGTTAGGCTGAGTACAGTAACTCATGTCAAAGGCAAGGAGAAGCATTAAAAAATGGCAATGATATGGTCCGGCAGATAGTTTGTAAATCCTGTAGCTTTTAAGACAAGTACCTCAAATTCCTTTCTAGAAATACTACAATACCCCAAATGGGAAATGGACAATACACATATTAAACATAATCATTCTTCAAAGTGAAACAAAATAGTTTGCTTGGCTATCACTGGGAGTAATGCTTGACAATCAATACATCCATTGCATTAGAATTACTCATGCCAGACGACAGGATTTACATTTGAAAGTGCATTTTGAACATATTCTCTGAAGACTTGGATGTTTTGTCAGATGGTTTCACAGCACCTTCCCAAAATACGTCCTTTGAAAGAGGAAATTGAGCAAACAAAATCTCAAACCAATGAGATGCAATGCAATTTTACTTACCTTTAAATATCTTCAAAGGCAGTATTAAAAATTTTTTTTTAGCCTGCCTCTATATCACTTGTTCTACTCTATTTGCACATGTAGCAAACGTACATATTTTCGTGTATGTCCAAGTCATATGGTAAATCTACAATCCCTGCAGCACGGTACAATTTAATTAAGCAAATGTACAGGTCTTGAGAAACAACCCCTGATAGTTTCAAAAGTCAGACCCAATACATGATCCAACAGGTATAACCATAATAACCAGGTATGTTACCTAGAGATTTAGTATAATCATAAAAAATGTTGTATTGTGGTTAGATAAACCTATTAGAAACATAGAAAATTCACCATCTAAGCACATGAGATCACTTATCTGCATGCGCAGTCTATAAAATTTGCATCCCAGATTTGAAACACAATCCGAAACCTTTTGTATAACAGCACATGGGAAGTGAAGGAATGCATTACTGGGGTTGCATTTGCCACTAATAAATGAAACAAAATGGGCCTTTTCAGGAGCAATAATAGGAAACTCCAAGGCGTTTTTTCTCTGTGGAAACCTTGGCACCAAACATGACCAAAAACATTGTTGCTGCCATCTTGGCTCCTAAAAAATAACTGGTAATGTGATGGCTTTAAACTTTGTTTCCCAGAAGCCATTCTCTATTTCTGAAAAAAGCTTTAGGGCAGAATGCAAATGGCATTTTAAACTCCGTTCAGGGTTTATTTTTTCAAAGTAGTAAAACTTCTGAGTTCGTCACTTTCAGTAACCCAAACCACAACTCCACCAGTACAGTGGTGAGTATTAAGGCTGGGGTTGGCTATTTTTATTTGTACCACTACTTTCACCATTCTGCTGATAAAAAAACCCTGCAATATAAATGTTGCAGTTTTTAATAAGCAGGAGAGTAAAAACCCCAGAAGTCACTTTTTTTAAAGATTGACTGCATTGACATTTAGAAGCACTTTTGCAATTGGAAGCAGGATTGTGGAGTCCTGTAGCTCAGTGGTTAGAGCACTCGCTTTGCAAGCGAGAGACCTGAGTTCAATTCCAGGCAGAGGGCGAAACCTTGGGCAAGTTTCCTTACTCCACACACCTAATAATAATCCTCCAAAAAAAACAAAAAACAATAATAAAATTGGTCATTTTCAATATACGACTGTTTGTGGGACATTGCTGTGCGCAATTGGCTGCCGCGTTCGCCCACAAATATACATGCAATTCACTTTACAGTGTGTTCTGTGAAGCGCTTTGGGACGTCCTCCCGACGTGAAAAGCACTATATCAAATGCAAGGATTATTATTATTATTAAACTATGCTTGCAGACAATTCCCTTAAACTTCACATCGTTGATCCATTTGTGCTGTTCAGATAATGTGTTTTTTTGGGGCAAAACTGCGCTTTACCAGTTTCTGTATACTTACCATATTCAGACTCAGCAATCTGAAGTGAAATTTCTGTGTGGATTTTTCATACGCTGACAAATTACCACGCATCACATCAGGGAAATTGAAAACATTTTTTAATATTTACTGGTGAATATTTGGGCTTCAAAAAATTACATTAATCCCTTCCACATTGCAAAAAAACCTACAAAAATTTGTTACATTTTAATATTGATTTACAAAGATTCCATTTTATCTTTTATAACATGGTGATAATGTACATCCAAACCTATTTACAGAATAAGAACGGTTTAAAAACATGAAAGACCACAATTTAAAAATGGCCAACTTTATTTAAGAGGTAGTTACCATTATTTAAACTGAGTTTAAAAAGCATAACCCCCTTTATATATTTAATCCAATAATTTACAATATGAATTTGAAAATGTGTCTTATGCACAGTATCTACAATCCATTCCTGAAAGTTCAGTTTTGGAAGTAATTTTTTTTTTGGCATCTCCTAACCTCCTGAGAAACTACCAGTAATTAACTCACAAAACGGTATTCACATTTGTTTATGCTCACCGTATAGAGTTTCTGTTTATTCTGCAGCGCAGGCAAGTGTTACGTTACTCAGCAGGGAATGTGCTGTGAAGAAACAGTAATACAATCTGGCAGTGAATTTTCCATTAAATGGCAATTTAACTGTAACTGAGCAAACAGCTATGAAAAAGACCATTTTTGTAATGACTAAGACAGAAAGAATGCACCATAAAAATACTAACTATTTTTAAAAATAAATTTTTACTCATCCGCAAGTTTACAGACACTGTTGTAAACAGAGTCTGTAGTCATGTACCATATCACACACATATACAAACATACTCACGCACACACACGCACATACACACACACACACGCACAGCACAATCACACCTACACACGTGCACGCACAATCTGCTTGGGCAATTCTCCGTTTTGCAAGAATACGTGGCTCAATAAACTTACTGAACATTTTTCCCTTTTCTTTGACGACTGTCAGATTGAAGAAAAAGTGCTTCCCAGAAATAAAAGTCCACAAAAGGAAGAGTCAATTGTGTTAAGTGTTCAAACGCGTACCTTTCTGGTATTGTCTTCTGCAGTTAGTCTTTGCTCCGTGGAATATTATACGCATAGTGAACCAAAGGAAATCCCCGACTCTGATAGAAGCAGGCCCTCCCACAGGCCTGGACTTGGTCGGAACTGTCCGAAACAAAGGAGTCTCCCTCATCAGCATACTCTGAATGAGCAGATTGAGTTCCACAGTCTGACCAGTAGCCACTGGGTCTCTGGCAAGGAACCACAGCCAGGGCTGGGCAGCTGTGTGACTTCACCAAGTGTTTACATGTTGAGGGTTTTGTCAATAACAGTGATTCACAACAGTCACATACGGTGAGGTTGCCCTGCAAGTGGGTGTACATCCCACAGTCATAGTAGAAATCCTGGGGCACACAGTCACCTTGTGTATTCACTGAAACCGCTAGTGATTTGTCTTTTTGCTTTGGGCGCCATTTCAGCATACTCCAGTCTTCTTTGAACCGGGGGTTGAAGAAAACGTACAGGACGGGATTCAGACAAGCGGGTAGCGGGAAGAAGATTAGAGTGACAGACTTCATTATCTCAGGGCTGATGGAGATTGCACTGATAAGTGGTGCGAACGAGAAAAAAGCAACAGGACAGAAGAAAATGCAGTTGGTGAAAATTAACCAGGCAACGTGCTTAATCATACTGGACTGGGAGCTTTCTGCAAGATCCTCTTTCTCCAAGTTGCAGTAGAGCTTTGTGTACACAACTGCCATGAGCAGGAAGGCTATCGAGTTGAGCAACACCAGAGTTACTGTATAGCCCAAGGAAGGAGACTCTCCAGTGGGGAAAGGCAAACAAAGAGGAGATGCTGAAAATTCTCCAATGTGAAACCATGGCAGGCAAGCTATCACTGCAGCAACCACGACAGCAAAGGAAGCAACTATTCGAAAATGCACCTGGCGATGACTTTTCCCTTTTTTAATTAGGTCACGCGTGGTAATGCTCCGTTCAAATGCCGCTAAAATAAGGAGGAAAATGGACGCTTCGGAAGAGAACATAGCGAGGAATCCAGCCATTTTGCAGCCACTTCCCATCTCCCACCATGCACCAAACTGAGCAAATTTCCCCCAAGACATTGCATCTAGAATCGTCAAGCTACCGGTATAGACTCCCATTAAGAGGTTTGATGTCGAAATCAGGCCCACAAACAGCTTTGCAGAAGACAGTGGTGCACGTGATGCAAACGTTGTTATAACAACAAGTACGTTGAAAATTAAGGCCACCAGAAAAATGAACCATACAGTGAGACGTATCATCCAACTTCCCAGCAAATGTCGGCATGGCTTGAATGCACCTGATAGAGATAAGATATGAAATTATTAAGAACACTGTTACAAGAGCACCACTTCTTTACTTAAGTAGTATTTCATAGTCACATATATTTCATAAAATATGACTAAAATAACCTCTCTTTTGCCCTCAAAGGTCAAATTTAATGACACAATTCTTACGCATCTATCTCTCTCTCTCGAAAGAGAGAATACTGAATAACTGTCAATGGCTCAACTCTGTAATTCCTCAGAAAAGTAACTGCGTATCACCAAGATAGATTCCAATGCCCAAACTCACCATCTATCTCATCTATGTCGGACAGTATTCAAACAGCTTACAAGGACAGAAACAAATATCTGTCCATGCCCCCTTTACTGGTGATACGTTTAACAGGATTTGCAAAAAGCTAATATTTCTGGTAAATGGATGCGAAACTGACACACAATTTTCTTTTCTAGAAGTGCAATCACACTTCATATTTAGAGGTTATCAGTTTACACTGAGTGTTTGATGGTGAAATGGTACCAATAATCTAGAAATGAAGGATGCTTTTTAAACAAAAAGGAAATCAGGGTTGCCGTTTAACATTCTTTATCAAAATCTACTGTTACAAATATGGAAATTTCATTGGAGCTCAGTTGAAGATTAGAATCTGTTTTTTTTAAAAATAGCATTTGTTTTTCTAGCTCAACTACCCAGTGACCAATAATACACGTGTACTGTGGTTTGCCAACATTGCGGCAGCAAACCTAACTCATTCAAGACGAGGAACCATGGTCAAACATTGACGTGGTGAAGTTTTTTTTCTTCTAGACTGATATTTGGTTGCATTACAAAATGCATTTTCACGTAAGTACCTGATTCAGATTTTACACTGGACTCTCACAACTGAGTTATTATAAAACACGCCAGGTGATGGAAAATAAGTTAAAATGGTTATTTGCAAGTAATGATCACAGTGTTGTGTTGCACAGAGCACAAAGCTCTTTTTAGTTGCACTGATATAATTGCTCCAGCGGATCCCTAGAGACGTGCGGTAGTTACAAAATAGCATCAAATTACTTCTCAGGCATGTCCCTTTGTTTCACAGCCATTTCCTTCTGGGAGAGTTTGGGATTTTTACAAAATATATGGACTATTTCACTTTGCCCACAGTTTCTGTGGTGGAACTCTTAAAGACTGGTACGACCTCATTCAAAAATTAGCAAGAAGTAATTCTCAGGAATAGTCTGTGCAGATAATGCCATGAACGCTTTGTATGAAAGTACCTGGAGATGGAGTGCAGTGCACTGGGGACTGAATCCTTTCATCTTCTTCGCTTTTAATCTCACCAACGCCACTTTGGTCTGAGGGAAAAACAAAAAGGGAAGTTAGAGAACTAGTCATTTCAACATCTCAGTCTGTGTGCCGTAGTCAGAATTCAAAATGTTGGTATTGCTGCTGTGTTTATACTGCACGCTTGGCATTGAAGCAGTGCCATTTTGTCCAGCGTCAGGCGGGGTGTGGGGGAGTCTGAGTCATGCTGGAATCCTCCCTCTTGAATACATCTGGAATATGTTTCAGGAGTAGAGAGATTCAGATCCACCAATGTTAAAAAAATTAACTTTTCCTGTGTACTTTGCATATGCCAAGACAGAAATGTTTCAGCCTTCATTCAAAGAAATGCGTAGTGGGAAGTGTAAACTGGTAACATGCAGAGGATCACTGAAGACTGGAGATAGACCATCTATCATCAATGGTCATGCACATGGCAGTTTTGCTAACTTTTATCTGGGCCACAAGATGGAGCACTTCATACTGGTGGTCTCGGAGTGAGAGAGTGCGAGCACTGAAACCAGCAGAAAGACTCTTACACTGCAGAGCCTAAATCGATGGTAGCAGTTGACACACACTGTCCCAAGCCTTTGCTGGTTGTGGCCGCAATGTGCATTTAACAAGCCAATTCTCACACAGATATAAAAACCTTGATAGGGATTAAGTATCCAAAGGGTTAAAAGACCCACAAAAGGAATGCTCACTAAGCATTCACTATTTCATTATTTTCTCCTCTCTCAAAAAGGACTTATCAAATCTGTTCTTACTCGAGCTGAAAATCATATCTCTTGCAGTGGTACGTGTGCCTCCTTTTCTTAGTGCCCACTGATCTGGCTGAAACTGGCAACTTACCACCTGGAAGCTAGACGACAGTTTCTAAAAGTTTAGGAATACTTCATGAGTGGGCCGTGGCTTACCGGTGTTCTTCTCTGATGAAGGATTCTTGTTTTCCTGTTTTTTGATACCTTCGGAGTTTGAGGGCAGGCATGAATCACAGGCACTAAATGCACAGCACTGGTACGCGTAAGGAACCATCAAAGTTCTGAAAATACAGTAATTTTTTTTAAAAATGTACGTTTTAAATCATTCAGAGTATATTACAAGGCTTGGTGATAAAACTGGCTATTAATTAAACTGTACCGCAAAGAGAGAGAACCTTGTACTGTTTATCTCAGTTACTGTGAGCTCAGTACTCTGTGTTCACAATTAGGTAGCTTGGGTTGCCAGGGCACATTTTCTTCTAAGAATGATAAATTTCCCCAGACCTGAGACTGATCAGGCAAGGAGGAATGTTATGGGTCAGTGATATTCACCTACAGAGTTATGTTTGTCTTGAAACAGTGAAGGGATTGTCATTTGTATGATTTAAGCTTTGACAGGAGGACAATATGAAAGTAATGCAGCACTAACTCAAACAAAAACACTATTTCATCAAGAATGTCTAATAAGATACTGCACTGATGAAGTCTTATAAATAGGCATTTGATTTGGTATTGCAAGCTATGTTTCGACAAGCAGCTCAACACTCAAAACATTTTCTCAATTTCCCTTGTGCAAGCCTTTGCAATGAAATACCACACAAAGGACTTTAGGTCAGACATGTTTAATTCTTACACGTTTTGTCATGCGAGGCACAAGGCAATGAAATATGAAAGCTGAAGTGAATAGAGAAGAGTAATTCCGTACCTGAGCTTTCGCAGGTCCTCTGCTACCAGTAGCTCCTTCATCTCAGGGTTCCCAGTAAGTTTAAGTTGATTGAGTCCTTCCAGCCCGGATGTTGGGAAATAAGTCAGTTGATTGGAACTTATATCTCTGAACAAACAAAAAATGAACATGAGCCAATGCACAAGTGTATTTGTACAATGGTTACAATATTTTGCTTGCTTAATATTACAATTTTGACTATAAAATAGCATAACTGTAATTATTATTTTATGAGTGTCAATGAAGACTTTATACTCGGTCAACCACTGTCAAATTGCATATGTTAAGCAAAACATTTTGTCACTAATTAGTCAGCATTCAATTTTGTTTGTTTAGCTATAATTACACTCTCTATCTAACCTCGACTTCAGGCAAAGAGCTCAAAAAAATATATACAAAGTAAAATAATGTATCTGTTCCAATATTGGACGTTACTTTAAATTTAAAATAATCAATGAAATAAAAGTCACAACAGATCCAGCAGCTTGAAACAACTAAGATCACTTACAAGTTGGTCAGCTCAGACAAAGAGATGAATGCATTCTTGTGTATTGTTGAGATCTGGTTTTTACTTAAGTCACTGTAAAAGGGAGAAAAAAGTACTAATTCATGAGTTTAAACAGGAAGAAATGGATTTCATTACAATTTTATTAAACCCATCATTAAACAAAATATAAACAAATATATCTCCTTCTATCTCAAAAGTGCTTCAGAGTGAGTTTAATCAAGTATATTCACTGTTATGTGAGCAAATATGACTAATCCATGCAAACAACATCCTACAAACAGCAACTCCCAATTCATCTGGTTTTTCATGACTTTGGATGAGAGAGGGATAATGGCCATGGAAAACTCCATGCTCTTCTTTGAAATAATGCCAGAGTGGCTATAACGGATCCTGAACCATCAAAATGAGGAGTCAAGTTTACTGTTTCATCCAACAACACAACTCTCCTCAGTGCTATGCTGGAGAGTCGGTCTAGATTACTAAATTTACAGGTGAATGACAAGCATGACACTTTATTCCAACACCCCAGCAAGTGTAATTTAAGTCTACTTTCAATATTATTGTCATAAGGAATGCCAGAAATAGAACTTTAGAAGGAGATTCCAGTGCCAGATCAATTTCCTATACACAAACAAACATCACATCAGTTTCTTAATAGCTTTAAGACACAACATTCCCATCTAGTATTTCAAACGAGTCTCCCGGACCTGCACAAATTAAGAGTTCAAGCAAGCATGAGCGCATAATCAGGGTATAAAAATGTCAGGGGTAAGTCTACAGCAATGCTTCCTCTTTGACTGGTCACACCTCAGCTTATGAGATAAAGTATTTCATCTGTCATGCATGATTAATGGAAGTCTAGGTTATGGCTTTGTAAAAAAAAGTGAACAGAATGATCAGACGCAAAAAAAAAGCACACACTTACAGTAAGTGGAGAGAAGCCAGGCCCTGGAACGTATCGGACTTGATCTCTTTGATTTCATTGTGCTTCAAGGAACTGCAAAGACAGAATATTTTGGTACATTTTTAACCAAAGCACAACTATCAACAGGAAAGCACTAGTACTTTTTTTTTAAATTTAAAAAATATAGAGAAAAGTGAATGCTTGATCTCAGGCTTTATGGCAACTCAGGAATAAGCTTCCTAAGTAGAACTAAAGTTATTTCGGCCTGGAGAATCTTGGTGAAGCATTTGTCAATCTTTATATTGTATATATACACACCCTACTGTTAAATATTACTGCACTGGAGGTAATAAAAGCAATAACCCACCTCTGGTCAAATAAAAAAAACTTAAATTCCTTTGTTACCAGCATAGTCACTGCACTTAAAACAAACCTATTGTTGTGCTTTATTGCAGTTATGTGAGGAATGACCACAGTGACCTTGGACTCTGCTTCCAATGTCATAACTGGTACAGACAGAATGTAGTTCTGCCTTCCTGATCCATTAACTCATAAACCTCTCACTAAATCCAGTTTAACCTCAACGCAATAGCACACTGCAATGCAATAAATAATTAGTATTTATATAAAACTTTAAATACATTAACCCCCATACCATTTTGCTGCCATTTCCCCAACTGGTAGTTTGTTACGGTTCTTGCAATAATGCAACAATTCAGCAATAATCCGATAAATTTCTGCAATAATGTAACATGTCACAGTCAAGTTACACATATGATTAACACAGGCATTGTCAAAGTTGGACATCATCTCATTCGCCAAATCAGCACTGTGAACAATGTGAGCAACAAATCTGAATAGTTTTCCTTCGCAGCTCTGCAGGTTATCCAATGAGGTTTTGCCTGCGGATATTGTAATCAGAGTTTTGGTTCACACAAACTTTGTGCACACCAGTCCATCTCTGTGAACTGTACTGAAAGCAGAAACTCTTCCCTGTAGGCAATGCAACTCCAGACTAAATTCTCAGCAGCAGTGTGCGAGGACAGTTCAGTCACTGCAGGAACCCTATTTAACACAAGCCATGTTTTCAGACAATGTTGGTCTCCTTAACTGAAATTGTAACTGCAACTTGATGATACTAGCCATGTTTGCCCACTTAAAATAGAGTGGTCAAGACAAAAGGAAAGAGACTGAAAACGTATTTTACTTAGTGTGGATTTTACTTGGTGCGGAGGTGCAAGTCTGTTAAGTTTCTTGCCCGATTGTATTCCTGGCTAAAGATCTCGAAGACCACGACTACCCTACTCTTGGTTCAGAGAATCAAGAGGGAGAGGACAATCCAGTCTGCCTGCCATCCTAGTACAAGGCCTCGCAGTATAGGAGGTGATTATTTTCTCTCTCACCCTTATCCAAGAAAAAAAATATTGTATAAATACATAACCTACATACAAACAAAAAGGATCACTGACACCCAGCTGAAACTGGAGACAAACAGTATTCTTTACAGTTCTGTGGGAACCAACCACAACTTATAAGTAGTCTAAATAATGTGTAATGATTTAAGTCCTTTGATAAGACAATATCCATTACATATCCACATTAACCTCATTGTTATATTAATATAAACACAACAGCAGCAAGCCAGCCCAGCTTTGGGGCATGTGGTACACTTAAAAACAATCATTCAACAATTCCACTGGCATTTATCCACTGTGTGTACACTCAAACACCTGCTTACAATTGAAAATTGATTGAAAGCTGAAACCAACACATTTTCGTAGGTGAATAATATTTATTCATCTCTTCAAAACATCAACACAGTACTATGGGTACCAGAAATTCTACTAAAAGTATAAAGAAAGTAGCACAGTCCAAAGAGTCCATTTGTAGGGCTGATATTCTACTAGAAACATAAAGAATTGTCTTTATGCAGCTTCTAATCTCAGTTCTGAATTTGTTTATGGCAACTGGATAGTCACAAGAGGTTCACTGCACATCACTGTACAATCATATGATACGGTTTGCACTCTTTAGCTACTAACTCAGCCTTGCAATGTCCTTACATCTACTTGTATTGGGTAAATAAAGCTACTCATCAAAAATTATTCAGCAAAACTAAACCTCAGTTAAATTTGATCAGCAAAAAACAAAGGATATTCTTGAAGCCTCATCTTACAAAACAGCAGAGTTCAAAAGAGAAAGATTTAAGAAATATATGAAAGCTTAAGTTTTCATCGGTTAACTAGCGCAAATGCAAAAATCCTTTCTGTAGTTCAGAAATGCAGAAAGCTGATTACATATGTCTTGCCAATGTAATAGATTATACGTTGTACAACAAGGTCAGAAAGGATTCTATAATGAGCTTCCTCTGGTGTGTAATAATAATCAAAATAATTCTTGCATTTGATATAGCGCCTATCACATCTTCGAGACATCTCAAAGCAAAGTGTAGAATTATTGTTTGCATGGTTTGGAATAATCCTTTCCATTAAATCAAATAATTGGTTTAAAAATAAACTTCTGTGGGAAATACAAGACCAGAGTCTATTTTGGTGGCTTACAGGGGCTGTGGAAGCAGCTGGCCATGTAAAGTTCTGTCTAGTGACTGATTACAAGAACAAGTAATTTTTTGGCACTCTGCACTGCAATAAAAGGAGGACTTCACTGCAGTCATACAGACTGGCCCGGGTCCAGCTGTTTTTCATTTAGATACAACATACAACTCGGCAGCAAAGCAACACTTAGCTTAGTCTTTCTCTAGACTGAACTTGACTAATGTTCATAACTTATGCAGAAGATGTAAAATATTGCTACAGTTAAACACAAACGGTGGTGCTGCCAGACACTGTGGTTTCAGCACGTTGTTTGGTGAAGAACATCAGTTCTCAATCACAGCCAAGCTGGAGAGGGAAGATGATGGTCGACACGAGTCACTTGCTGAAATGCAGAGGAAATCAGAGGGCAAACAATCCCAGCCAGGACAGCACACACAACCCTCTTAAAAATGGAATCTGTGGGAATCTCTAGCCAATTGCTTCAGCTGAATTTAGAGTAGTTAGATTGCACCACCAGTCTGCTGGGACAAATATACTATGTTGAAAAGTTATCAACGGCCATTAGTTACTATCAAGCTGTATCATTCTCTCCAGGTATGATTAAACTCTTAGCTCAGTTAGCAACAAAACAAAAAAGGGGGCAACGAGACTGCTGGAATTAAAGAACAAAACCATAAATAAACAGGTGGTTGCTCAGAACGGGCAGGCAGGTGGGAAAGCAATCTTAAACCAGAGAAATAAGCAAAACAGCAAATCAAAATGCAAAAACGACACTCAAGTTGGAAACAATACCAGGAAACAAACAAAAAGTTTAAATGAAAAGTTGGCTTTACTTCACAGAGTTGGGGTTTGGCCACCCAGGCAGCTGAATCCACGATTGCACTTCACTGAAATCCGACTGACAACCCCTGCAGCCCGTATACAGATAACATCGTTTGAAAAGAAACTCCGCTCATACTGTGGCTGGGATTTTTTTTTCTTTGCCTGCTAGTGCAAACCATGTTTTGCAAAGGTTTTGACTGGAGGCTTTTTTTTGTCTTTCTCTTCCTCCCCCCTCACTGCTGCAAAGAAATTCTTACCCCATGGGCAGGCAAAGCAACAACAACAGCTTCCATTTATACAGTGCCCTTCACGTGGCATACTGTCTCGGAGCACTTCAAATCAATAAATCAAATGAGGAAAAGAAATTCAGGTAGAAACCATATGGATAAAAAACTAATCTTAAAAAAAGTTGAAAAACTAGAACTGTATATAAAACAAAACTAGAAAACTAACTCAAAAGAGAAAAGGTAGAAGACTTTGATTTTATTTTTGCCCCATGGCAATAACCAAATAATAATATAAATGCCTCTCAAGGACTTATAAAAAGACCCAATGCTAAGCACAGGGCAATGGGGACAGTGTTAAACGGTCTGCAATCACTCCTACCTGCAATCTTTCAGCTAGGACAGATATGAAGTGTGTAATGAATGCAACATGTTAAAGATAATGCAAGACAGAGACAGCGGGGAAAACAAAAAGATCTATGCATGTTGTAGACAACGGTATTTTATCCCATCTCTCTATATCTCTTTATATCTTCAAATCAAAAATACTTCATGTTCCACAGTGGTTCCATTCTGACGGGAATACTCCAGGCATAGGTTATAGAATAAGATGTTGACCTGCAGTTAGTTATTCCTTTGCTGATTTTTTTCCCCTCTTACTAATTTTGAGGTCCTTACTTGCTCATTGCTGTGCTATGCTCATTCAACATCAATTCAGTTTTCTACTCACGTCTTTCCTCACCATTATCTTTCACCACTTTTGGATGCCTTAGCCTGCTTGATGCCACACATAAAGCTTTCATCAGGAAATAAGGAACTCCACTCCACGTGCACGTATCGCATTCAAGCCTTCATTGTGGATACTGATAGGATTCAAGTTAGTTCATGCAATTCAAAGCTTGAACCTGCTCCATTCTATGAATTTAGTTTTTTGGGGGATGTGTAAGACACAACATCCTGCTTTAAGAAATTTGAATCTGAATGTTTTAAGGCAAAACATATTTAATTTCATTTCAACTATGCAGCTAATGCGAGCAGCTTTTATTTTACCAGACTGGTTGACGACATGCACAGGCCTGTGGCTCCTGAATGACAGCTTAATTCCAAAAATTAGTTCACGCTGGCTGGGAGTGGCAAGGGCAGCAACAGCAAACATGTCAAAAGACTTTCTCAGCTATCAGTTTTACCAGTTAAATATTCCAGAGATTGTACAAAATATTTAAGCTTTCCGCCTGATCAGACATGAATTTGACAAAATTAGTTTTGAAGCATATAACATTCCATAATAGTCAACAATAAAAATCAAGACAATTTTTAAACAAAAAAATTATTGGCAAAATAGATAACATTTTGTGATGCTCACAAATAATCCAGTTTTGCTGTTAAGATTATTTCAGCAATTATGTGTTAACCCAATGCATCGTTATAACACTTTGAGTGGAGCTGTGTTCTTCATCTGATATAAGGCAGTAGTATGCAAATACTGACTTGCTGGCTTGCGATACTAATCCGTTTGCCTATGAAATGCACAACCATTGTACTTTACAGTATATCCTGTGAAGCGCTTTGAGATCTCTCTCCGGATGTGAAACGCACCATAGAAAATTTAAGGCCTCATATTATTATTAATATTGCAAATCCACCACCGATCTGCCAACGCTAATATACGTAATGGGCTAAGGCTGCTTTTAAATGAGAAATGTAGTAACACTCCTGCCAGCATGCAGCGTTCCCAATGTGAACACCAGCTGTACTGTAGCCTGACCCTATTGTTGAGGTAATGTGGCTCAATGTCCCAGAAGAGAGAGCAGTTGCAACAAGGCAATAATTTGTTTTTTCTAAAAAAAGTACAAGTTCATTAAAAAAAAGTACCCCGAGGAGTGATAAGAATGCAATACTGTTTTTTAAAATTTAAACCAGCTGTAGTAACACCTCTATAAGTATGTTCATGTTAAGCAAACTTTCAAAATAAAATGCTTCATCCACATTCCTTGCAATATTTCAGGCGCTGTAGGTACAGGTTTGCAGATGAAAGGATCGAAGCATAAAGCTCGCTTTATGATTCCCGGCTGAGTTAGCAGGTCAAAAAAAAAACAACTCACATTTCTTCCAATGCTGCACAGCCTTCAAAACTCGGTAGCTCCTTTATCTGATTGTACGACAAGTCCCTGTAAATGGATAACAAGGTTTTTTTTAAAAAAAGAAACAATATAAAAAGTCCATGCATACACACATCTTTAAGATCTACAACTTGAATTATTGAATATTAAATGGGATTTCAAAGCAAAATATACAGAATATTCTCACTAGCACAATGCTGCAAAGTTTGGGCGTTTTGGGGCAGTTCAGATCAAGTTCATAGGATTTGTAAATGCTGGAATTACCCTCCTAATCCTCAGAAATACTTGCTAAATATTCAACCCGTCTTACGTTGTGAAATCAAGTCCCCTCTAGCACAGATTTAAAAGAAATGCAAATTTCCGCAAATGTTTCTGAACCAAACCTACCGAAGGTTTACTTGCTTGTTGGAAATGGTACGTACATCTTTAGTCTGGGGGATAAGGAAGGCACCCATAAAACAGGTGATTCTTCCTCTCTCCCCCAACCCCCCCCCCCAAAAAAAAAATATGCATTCTACGAATAGGGCATTACATTCTCTGCTATCTTAATGAACTGTATCAGCGGCTCAGCTCCTCTTAAGACAGGACTAGCCTGAATTCAACTGAAACCTCAACACGTCTCCTAACCCCAGGCAATTATCTAGCTCTCACAGTTGGAACCGTCACCTTAAAATACTTTAATTCAAGCCTTTCCATACTTTTATCCCATACTCTCATAATATTTACAAACATTTGCAGCTCCTCATGCACTTTATACTTTGCAATTCACTCTACAATGCAATTTTCTACTTTAGCTGGTTTCCTGGATAATGCAATGAGCATACAACTCACAGAAATCGTAGCATCTTCAGTTGCTGGCACAGGTCCGGTGGGATTCTGTTTATTCTGGTTCCGGTCAAGGTGCTGCATCAGAAAAAAAAACACATACCAAAACAAAGGCGTTAAATCAACATTTCCCAATTTCTATCTGGGTGATGTCATGTCCATTTTTGCTCTGTACAAAGAAGAACAAGCAGTGGGTCAATTATTGAATTTCAAAGATATTCAAGATGCAAGACGATGTGGAAAGAGTAGGGGAGTGGGACTAATTGGATAGCTCTTTCAAAGAGCCAGCACAGGCACGATGGGCCAAATGGCCTTCTTCTGTGCTGCAGGCTTCAACGATTCGAAGTCTTTCTGATTAATGCTTGATCATTGAATTAATTCGCTGTTCCCACTTCAACAGATTCCTCAACGACCAATTGTAGGGGGGTGAAAAAAAAACTCTTAAAATCGGTTTCCAAGAGCTAAGAGTTAAAAATGGATTGCTTTTTGTTTCACAGTTGAAGTCGATTTAAATTGTAGATGTGCTGCCAAAAAACAGAAATCCCTCATTTTAGTGTTCCGTGCACTTACAGGTCTTTCGAGATTTACTGTTCCTGCAAAGCCATTAAATCATGCCAGCTTCAGCATTCTTGGTTATTTATCACTAGACTTTGGCCGGTGACACTGGGCAAGAGTGGAATAAGTCTACACCATAGTCTACTGCAAGCTAATCTCTCTTCACATATATAAAGAAAACTGCATACAGAGAGAGCCAAATCACTTTGTTTGGTGAGAAATTTGTACACAAGTTGGTTATTTCTCAGTCATCTTATTGCTTATATATAAGATATAGCTCGATATGTACGATATGTTTTTTTCTCCCATATGAAAGCTATAATCCTAACGCAGTTTATCTATGTCATAACTTAGAAGAATAAGGTAGTATTCTGTGCCACAGCTCATTGGGTTGGTCAAGCCTCTCCATTCACCATTAAGTATAAAACAGCACAGACCTCAGTCCATCAAGTCTGAACTGATGTTATCTATGTGAGCCACTTGATCTAATCCCACTCTTCTGCTAGCTTCCCCATATTCTTAACGTTCCTCTGGTTTTAAAACATCTAAGACAGCATTCTTTCAATCTATTCCCTGCCTCCATATTCTTACTTCCCCATCCTTCTTTGGAGTGCCTCAGTCTTCTACAACCTTCCAATCCATTGTATTTCTACCTACTGTGAACTTTTGTTTCTGATATTCAAAGTATTCCCTGAGTTTTTGAAGTGACTAAACCGTAACAATAATTACAGGAATATGAACTAAGATTTGTACTAACCATTACACATGTGGTGCAATCATCTTACAAGTTAATGCACAGATAGTCCTGTAATTAGTGCGGGGCAACTGCAGATTGAACATCATGATACATCCCAGGCTGTTCAAGCCATTTCATAGCAGGTTGGATTTTGATAAATAATGCCAAAGCGCCAGTTATAATGTAACCAGAATGTATGGAAACCGAACAAGGAAGATATACTTACAGAGATTGTAGTTCAGACAGATTTTGGAAAGCAGAAATCCCCACAGAAGAGATTGGGTTATCATACAAGTGTCTGAAAGGCAAAGGGATGGGTCAGACAAGCCAACAATAATGAGCAAGCAAACAACAAGGTAAGAGCTTCAGTAGGAGAAAGGAGAGGAAAACAACATGTGTTTTACTTACACGGTCCGAAGTAATGGATTCCCACTGAAGGCTTTATCTGGAATTACAGCAATGCTGTTACTATGAAATCCTCTGCAACAAGAAACAAAACTCCATCAGTTTTAAACTCCCTGAACTTTAAGCAAGCAGCACACATGCAGATGCTTTTTATTGCAAACTTCAGACATATAGACTTCTCTAGCTTTTATGTTAGAGGAAACTTGAACAATGACATTTTATTTATGTCCGTGCTTGGATAGGTTTTAAATTCCACATCCTCTCAATGACTACAGCAAACCCTATATCAGTAGTAGATAATGTATTTTTCTGCATTTACTTATTTACATAAAGTGATACAGAACGGAAATAGGCCATTCGGCTCAACTAGTCCGTGCCAGTGTTTATGCTATCACATGAGCCCACACCCCTTCCCAATACATCGCTGTTCCCTTCCTTCCATTTAACTCAAGTTTGTTTTTCCGTCCAAAGTCCTGTGCAGCCAGCTGTTATCTATTTTAATCGAACTCCTATCCCCACCCTAAAGTTTCATGCATGGTTTGCTTTCTGCCGTGACTCGTCAGTTAAAGTTGCTCATGTTCTGGCTCAATTAGGTTTTACTTAATCTCTGGATCCTGAAATATTTCCTTAGCCCTGGCTTCTTGCGTACCTAAAGCACTTGTGGAGTTTATAAATTAAACATTTGAATTCTTTGGCTTTTTGAAGGGAGGAGGCACAAAATGTTCCTTTCAAGCATTAAGCAGTTGTGCCAAGCATACAGATTCTCCCACTTAACATGCCAACGGTTAGACATTTTATAAGTCATACAATGGTCTCAAGGGGATTACAATACATAGAATAACAATATGTGACTGGACAGCACAGAAGGAAAAGATTCAGGAGAAGAATTCTGAAAGAAAATGTCAAACAATGAATATAGAGAGATCACAATTCAGCAATGTATTGAATTTCCATACTCAAATCAGCAAGACAAAGTCATTTCAAGTTAGTGTCGAATGGGGTTATAAGGTAGTCTCTTATCAGGCGAGTGCCCTGTGTACTCGTGTTTCGTTACGTCATGCAGATCGACCGGCTGCAGGAAACAATATCACAGTGGTTTTGGCTTCAGGCCCAGTTATAATGCATGGTTTGAGGTTTAAGGACCTGAAATGGTGTGTTATATCTTCTGTAATACCTTACATTACACAGAACTATCTAAAAGCTATTTTGACATGGGTTTTGGTGCACATTTCTGCAATTGGCAATGAAAATAAAATTGCTGGAAGTGGAGTCTAACATTCAAAACATTCAGAAGCAACTCATAAATCAAGAAACCATATGGCATCATCCTTCCTGCCACAGGTAAATGAACCTTCGGAATCATGTTAAAGAAATAGTATTCTAGGTGCTGTTAACATGGCCGTCTAAACAAACCCAGAAACAGCAATGCTACTGGCATCAAATTAACCGTCTGTTGTTGAAGTGTGGGGGGAGCGGTTATCACCAGAAGCTTTCAATGTCGGAAATCGGTTTGCAAACCTGCTGTGCAAAATGTAATTAAACTCATAAAGTGGAGGACAGATCCAATTAAACTAACACATTTTACGATTTCCGATGCTTATATATGTTCCCCATGTCACCTATAAATCCAGCTCAGAAGTGGTACAAATAGAACAACGCCTCAATTTTCTAAAAAAAAGCAGGATAGAAATATGACCTTTTGCTCTTGAAGTAGCTGTCATCAACTATCATTTGAGGAGCGAGAGGAAAGAAAGAGTTGTGCCCAGGAAGGCGATATCTAAGGACAGGGTCTACAAGGTCAGAGTGTGCTTACACAGGACTGACAAAGAAGCAGTATGTCAGACGGTTGGAGCTCTCTAGGGAACAGTATCAAATGTATAGTATGAGAGCTTCATCCGCAATGAGAGTTGCTCTGTGTGTGCAAGACACAACTGCTCAAAATTGTTTTGTCACTAGCCCAATCCAATGACTCACTGGGGATTTATTGGACATCATCAACAGTGTTCACAAAATTCATCAGTCCACCTGCATTCAAAGCATCACAAATACAACAACAACAACAACAACAAGGTTCCATTTATAGAGCGCCTTTCACGTCAGGAGGACGTCCCAAGGCGCTGCACAGTTGGGTCATGACCCGAGCAGGGGGGAAATGGTCAGGGTGAGGGGAGGGAAGGGAGGGAGCGAGGAGGGGGAAATGGTCAGGGTGAGGGGAGGGAAGGGAAGGAGCAAGGAGGGGGGAAATGGTCAGGGTGAGGGGAGGGAGCGAGGAGGGGGGAAATGGTGAGGGGAGGGATGGGAGGGAGCGAGAAGGGGGAAGAGAGTCGAGAGGGGAGCTGAAGGCTCGGTCAAATCCAAATTCCAGAGAGGATATAATCTCCCTCATTCCTAGAGGTGAGGAGACATAGTTGAAGAGACCAGAAGAACTGCAGCAAAATTGCTGGACTCCCCAAAAGCCCATGGCTGTCATTGATTGAGCACAATGACTATTGAGATTGGAGCACCAACAGTCTATCACACGGTCAACATCCACAGCAAAGGACTTCCATTCCATCAGGTGTTCAGATTGTGTGCAATATACAATGAAGGATATTGTGGATTCCACACCCTTCATGTTTAGACAGCAGTTCACAGCACTCCCGATCAAGCAGGATTTCAGGGTGAATTGCCTTGGCTCAGCCTCTGAGTTATAATTCGTTGCCAGAATTAGTCAATCGTTACCACGTGTGCAGTATAAATGAAATCTGAAAGTTAAGTGGATTATAACCACGGGCTGGGAAATGTTCCGTCCATACGATGGGATATTAGAAGCTCTTTTGCTTACACTTACACACAAAAACAACCATAATTTGTACAGATCCCCTCATGTAATGTTTCAAAGCTTTATACAGGAGATAGTGCTTGGAGGGTGGAGGAGGTGACCGAAGGCAAGGTCAAAGAATTTGGTTCAGGCGGCTTTGGAAGACAGACCGAAATGGAAGACATTTCAGGTGGCGGTAAGCAAAAGAAATCAACTTAAAAGGGTGTTAAGACCAGGTAAGACACCATTACATCTCTGTTTTTCAGCATTCCATGTCAAGAAAAGATGGAGCACACTTCGCCCTTTTAAGACCTATGGTCTCTCTGTGTCAAAGGGATCTTCAGGCAATGGCACAATGATTGAATGATTTGACGAAACAAACTCGCTTGCCTCTGTGCCTTACACCAACTTCATCAGTTTCTGACTTACCAGGACTCCGGAAACCATTCTTATCTTATCCTCATCAATGTACTTCCCAGGCACCGGAACAAGTGCCAGCAATGAACATTGAATGTTACGAATATTTTCCACAGTCTGTTTTGATTAGCTCTAAGTACTAGAAATAAATAACGCATATTTGCACTCACAGCTCTTTCAGATTCGGAAGGAACTTGATGGCTTCAGGAAATTCCATCAAATTATTGTAGTTCAGATCCCTAGTGAGGAAATAACAGACACAGAAACATCAGGTAACAATCCTGACATTTCATGTACTGTGAAACAAACTAATGCAACAGAAAACTAAATAGCTAATATCGGTTTGTGTACTATGAAACAGAGAAAGATAGGTTGTTTATAGTAATGTGATGTAAAAAAAATCCTCTTACACAGCCACAGTCAATGCTTTTGCTGTAACATATGGGGCCACCCAGGCCCTCGAGCAATGCAGAGAAGAGGAATGGGATTGATTCTCTGTGTTAGAGAGCTGAGTTATGTGGAACGGCTGCATGAAACAAAGCCCCGTCGAAAGTTTTCAAGTCAGCTTTGTCTTTGATCCATAACATGAGCGACAAGAAGCCCCAGGAGTCTTATTTTTTTTTAAAAAGCATTACACTCGTAATTATTACATCATTACATAATTTGCTAATTGTAATTTACAAAAAGTCCAGATTTGACAGAACAAATTGCAAAAACAATTCAAAAAGAGGCAAATCCAGTTTCTGATGATAAGTCACTTCCACGCTTTGTTAAAAGCTGATCAAGTATATACTTGGTCAATATCTGTGCTTAAGAATATCTATGTGCGTAGAATAGTTTCCAGGGTACCCGATAAAGAGAATGTCCAGTCTCACCAGAGAAATGTTAGGTGAAAAATCAGATTTCAAGAAGCTCAGGTTACTGAGTGAGGTAGGTAACTAGTGTTTCAGAAGATTCACAGACACAACAGCCAATGCACTGACAGTTTCTGACATGCCCGTACTTTGAAAAGAACCCAAATACCAACAAATCACTTTATCAAATCTAGTGATAACCCAGATGTGAGCTGATGCTATTGAGGTGATAGCAAATTTTACAGAAGGGTTGGTGACATTTTCTGAATTTGGTGAAGTTATTTTAGTTTTTTTTAAAAATGTGAAATTGTAAATCGCTTATATATTATATGTATATAAAAATATAAAATACCTCCATCTTCCAGATCAGCCTCAGTAAGTGATGGAATATTTTTGATAACCTAATCACACTAATGATTGATCATCCAGTGCCAACGGGGGGGGTTTGGAGGAAGGAGATAAGAAAATTCCTTCTCGAGGCTGATGTAAGTATTGGCAAGGATGCGTCTCTCTGCTTGCAAATGGTGCAGATTATAGGAGCTCACAGAAGGGGAAAAAAAGGAAATGAAATATACGAGCAATAGCAAACCAGAGAATAAAGCTCACGAAAAACAAATAAGCTCACTGCTTTAAAAAAAACACACCACACAATACGGAAAAGACTGTGCTAAAACACTTAAACATGTGTGGGAAAAAACAAAAGAGGAAAGCCAAATAAAGGGAAAGGAAATATCTGCTGGAAATGTACTTCTTTGAAAACAATAAGAGATTTTTTTTTGCAAATGTTACAGCTTGACAGGAAGTCATTCCTGCCCACTTCCTACACGCTTACTGTGAGATTGAAGGTCATTAGGAACCAATCAAGCCTGACATTGACTAGCATCAGAAACCACTGAGCAGAAGGAAAGAGTTTCAGCACATGTTCAAAACCACTTGGAATTCAGTGATTGATAACCTGACAAGTATTGCTCCTCATGTTACTCAATGGACTGTCGTGGATTTAATGTATTGACAAGCGTTATTTTGCCATCATCACTACATTTAGTTACAAGAGGACNTTTTTTTTGCTCAAAGTTTTTTTGTTACTTCCCAAGGGAACCTTTAACCACCATTAGTACTCACAATGTCTCCAGGTTGGCAAGCCCATCAAAGCAATGGATGTCTATCGTATCAATTTTATTATTGTGAAGATGCCTAAACAAATTGGAGGGAAAGAAAGTACAAAATCAGAATCAATGTCGAAAAGAGCATCCAACAGCAAACAGTAATCTCTTTCCAGCATAAAGCAAATGCACCCATTCTGTTACTTCAGCACTGCGGCATTCATAACAAGAGTCTCAAATAGTGATTTGCACATGCAAGTTCTGGATGTGTATTACGCCAAGCTGCGGGCAAATGCACCTTAACACAACCTCCTTCTGAGGAAGTTTCAGAGCAGGATCAGCCTGATAGACATGTAGTTACTAGTGGGAATCATCCTCAAAGGCTACTGTTAATGAATACTGCACTTTCACCCCATAACGGATTGCTCAAATAACCGAGTAAATAAGTTATAGAAAAGAGACATCTGAAAATGTATTTAAACACCATTACTCCCCAGTTCTGTAGAATACTGTATTTAAAATTTGCTTGGCAGTTTTGGGAGTTATCTGAACAGCCTTTTAGTGTCCTACACTTGACTGCAGAAATAATTTACATCAACTATCCAAATTCTCTGGAGGTGTAATCCAGCATTGGGCACTGGAACTCGTTTTTTTAAAAAAAGAAAAAAAATTGAATTGTATAGAAATTTAGTGAATATTCTTTACTTTATTAAAAATGAAAGGGGAAAGAGAGGCTAAGAGTCAAAAAATATGGTTTTAGCACAATAGTTGGGAGAACATTTTTACTACGGAGTAAATTCGCTTTGATTATAAAAGGTTCGAGGACTTTTAAAATAAATAAAAATACCCTGACTAATTTCAGTCAAATTGGGTTTCCATCTTTGCAAGTCTTTGTTTTATTTAGAAAACAGCTGCACAAATGTAAATACTTCTACAATTACCAGGTTTCTGCAAAACACTTACAGAACAACTAGACTGGAGAGATTTGCAAAGGCAAAGTTGGGTATGTGCGTAATTTTGTTCAAAGCTAGGGTGAGGGCTTGCAGCGAAGGTAATTTGCTAAGTGGGTAAACAGGAACTTCGGTTAGGCTGTTATCATCAAGCCAAAGGTGCCGCAATTGGACCAGACCCTCAAAGCTGTCTTCAGGCACTGAGGTGATGTGATTTGCATCCAATCGCCTATGGATTAAGAACACAAAAAATATTAGCAATATCATAACAAACATGTTGAGCCTTGTTTTATAGACTGTATATAACGTTCATCACCCAGCTTTGGAAAAACACAAGAGTAGTAATTATGGTTGGTTGTGAAATAGTTGCAAGATTTGAGTAATCTTAAAGAGGCAGCATTTTCTAAAAGGATTGGCAAACCGTTTTCGAGGGTAGGGAACAGTAAAGGCCTTGAAAAGCCTTGTGCACGATGATTCGATAATGAAAATGGCAAAGTATGCACTGATGCAGTTTTACAAGATGTTACACAATTACTTACGTGTCCTTAACTACTTGCAAGACTTCGTAGTTGAAGATAGTGTCCCTTTTAATTGTCCTTTTGACATTGCAAAAGCTCAGCTGATTGGGGCCAATAAATTTCCAAATGGCAAATTTCAGCACAAATGGGAACCTGAGCACATGAGTTAATGAAGCGTGTCTTACATTTGTTGTCGTCATTCAAATACCATTTTAAGGTGCTTTCCCCAAACCTCATCAGACTAGAAACTTCCAAACAGGGATAGGCCATCAGGTACTGAACCAACATTAGTTAATAGGAGATAGTTTTGAATCACATACATGAACCAGTTGTTGAAATCGGCCAATTGCTGTAATGTTTGTGGTAATTCACAAAATAGATCTACAACAACAACAAGATTCCATTTATAGAGTGCCTTTCACGTCGGGAGGACGTCCCAAGGCGCTGATATCCCAAGGCCAATATCTATGGAATTAGATAACAAAACAGCAGGTAAAACAACTACCATCAACATAAACGGCAGTAGTTTTATCAAACTTTGCTTTCAATTATCTTAGTGGTATTCACACAAATGTACTGTGATCTTGGTTACTTTTGCTAAACATTCTTAAAACTTAAAAACCTACAATGAATTATTCTGCCAGAGTATGCATTTGCCTGATTGCATCCTGCATGGCGATACTACATATGAAATAACTAGTGCTGCACCAATAATGAGTCACAAAACTTTCAAAAGGCTAAAAATCAGAACCCCAAGCCTCAAAAGGCTAACAATTGAATCAAGCTACAATAATAGTAGAAAAATATGTGTAACTCAGTAAACAAGACATCTTGGAACAACTAACCAGCTGTATAGCTGTAATGTTATGAAGCTTCTGTTTAATAATCTTAACGTTTTACAACTTCATAGTGCGAATGTTTTTACCCAGTAATACCTTGGTAAGATCAGTCGGTTTTCCTGAACCCTTATGGTCGCAAAACCATTGCACGCCACATACATCAAGTCTGAACAATATATACAACAGAAATCAAAGGAACTACTTGATAATAGGACCCTGCAGCTCTCCTGAACGTTGGCTAGAAGTTACCTGTCTAGCTTGTTGGCTGAATTCCTTCCTCCCCCTCCCCGAACATCAAAGGCATTGTTTCCATTGCTTGGAATGAAGCTGGCAGAGAGATCCTAACAAAATACTCATCCCTCGCCTTTGCACTCATTCTGTACAAGCATCGCAACATTACTAAATTGAAAACTTGTCTTCTGGTAACTATATTAGGACCACTGAATCAGCTTCAGAATTCTACTTCAAGTCAAAGTGGGAGTGAACAGTAAAGCAGGCATACTGTGTTACATGTTGGCACCAAGTTAGCACGGTCAGAGGCCAAGGACTGCCATTGCAATGGGCATTCAATATTACAACAGCAACAACTTCCATTTATACAGCTCCCCTCATGCAGGGTAGCCTTTCAGGGGGTCCCAATGTGCTATATTATTACAATTATGCTTCTAAAGGTGGGATTTGTACAGGCATAGTGGGATACTGAGTGTGGTTGCTTCGATATTAAGTGGAAAATTGTTCCACAGAAATGATATCCGCGCAGGTTGAAGAGAAATACACCACCATAAAAAAAAGCAATGTGCGGAGTCCACAAAGGCCTGAGGAAGCAAAACTGATGTTGAACGCAATATTGAACTGAACTTCTGCAAGTAATATTTAAATTAAAATGGATGAATTATCATCTATATTATAAACAAATAAGACACGTCTGTTGTTCTGGATCACATGCGCTGACACACATTTCTCCTTTCCTCCTAAGCCAACAACAATATCAAAGCAACATCAACAGGACACACAAACCATTCTGCTGCCTTCCAGACTGATGCCAATCACGCAGATCAAACTTACCACTAATCCTTTCTAAAAACAGAATAGGTTGCTTAAGTTCCTTTCCCCCACACCACCACCCCCTCCCCCACCCACCCCCTTGCCTGAAGCAAAAACTGTACAGATGGGATCAATTAAAATCGCTGCTATTGACAATTTCCTGTAAAACATACAGCTGTTTGCTAGTGCAAGATTTTAGAGTGTAGAGCTTATTAGTCTGCAGTTTTGTCCTAATATCTTTGTGATGTGACACTTTAGTCAACAACAAACTGTGATAATAGCAATTTGATTCATTTGCTTCACACAGAATTTCGCCTCAAACTGTGGCAATCATTTGTACTCGATGTGTCCCATTGCATGTTGTTGGCAAGTGCTCTACGGGTTTATCCACCTAAATGATGCAGATTACCCAGAACAATAATGATCGCATGTTTCCTCTCAGGAAGCAGCTGTCTTTTTATACTTTTGGCTATACTTATATACTTATACTCCAGTTCAAAAGAAAAGGACAGATTTTTCAACTTATTACCTGCGAAATGTTACATTATAAGTTAGAACTTTTGAAGGGAAAGGGCTCTTTCTGCAAAAAAGAAACTGGCGTGGCAGATAATGTAATTAGAGTATGAGCTGCTCAGGGATTGAAAGTTGAACTCTCCGAGATAGTTCAAAACAGAATCATCAAAGCGCTATACTGTACTTAAAAAGTCTGCAATATGATCTCCTTACTGTGACGTGGTTTAATTTACAATTCTAAGACAGTTCCATGTGCTTGGGAGTGGACAGGATAAGGAGCATCATGAAGGGCAGCACTTTTTATTATCCGAGCTCTTCTCAAGTCTTGTGGTGATGATGTGGCCCAGATGGGAAACCAAAATCGCAGGATCACTCTGCCAGGACTCGCGAAAACCGCTCACGTTCTCCACGACTGTGCACAGAGACACACATATCCTCGTCCCAACATCCACAAGCGCAGGGATTGCAGTAGTTTGGCACAGAGCTTGCTAGCTTCCAGCAAAAGCCACACGATGTACATTTACCGCAACCATCCCCCCTGCCAGTTAGGGTCAGACATGCCATGGTGACCACATTTCCAAACACACCCAAAGCAAACCAGCCTCTTGTGAACTTAGGCACAGTTAAAAGCAATTGCTTGATACTCTCTTGGGGATCATGTGCAACATGTAGGATCAGAAAATGACTGATCTATTCCACAGGCTCTTGATTGTTCCAATTTTCATCAAAATTACTGTAAGCCCTAGAATGTTTGGCAAAACACAGATGTTATGTGGCGTTGCTGCAGCAAGTCTGTTACAACTTAAGACAACAAGCCATAGAGACCAACCAGGGTTCACATTTTAAGAAACGTGCCATGCTTTGCAAATAGTGATAAGATTTGATAACAGAGCAAGCAGCTGGCAATGCTAGCAGCAGACAGACTAGGCTGCGGGTTGCTCAATCCCTTTCTCTATCACCTCCCTTTCACCTGATTCACAGGAAAATGTCACGAGTGTGAATCTGGGAACAAAAAGTATTTATATTCAGGGATTTAAATAAATACACAGACGCACACCCTCTAGAGTGAGTCAACCAGCACGGACACAGTGCAGAGGTCACTTCCACACGTATATAAATCATACACAAATATATACAGCGAGATAGATTAGAGAGCAGCAGAAGCAAATCTAAGCATCCAAAGGAAAAGGGCAGGAGAATAATTAAATTGTAGACATGCAAACAAGGGAGTTGTCTCAAAAAGCAAAGGAGCATTGAGCAAAAAGCCGGGAGAAGAAATGGACAAATGGCAACTAAACTGTAAGATTTGAAGACAAACAAAACTATTTGACCACAGGGAAGAATGGAGCTGGGCACATTTACATTTGTGCGTGCCATTTGGAAGTCACAATTCACTCCGTTTGAGTAATGTAAAGCAACTTGGCTGGCGCTGCCTTGCCAAGTGATTTGCAATCCCCAAATAGCACCTTGGAATGAAGACAGTGCCTGACTTCATGAGAGCCAGCACTGAGCAGAACGCACTGATTCAAAATGCACTTCTGGCACAAGCAGCTTTTCAACTCCAGGCACCACAATAGTGGGTGGCTGAATGCCTGAACACCTATATGGTGTTCAGACATCTGGAGCATTCAAAGCACTTGTGCAATGGACGGGCTGTTTGAAGTGGTCATCAAAGTAGCCCTTTGCGCTGAGCAGGAATCCAAATTCCACCCTCCATTTGCCCCAATCACTCTTCCATTCTGCTTCTGAGCCATCTCCTCCCTCCCTGCCTTCTGAGCCATACTCTTCTCTTCTGCCCTGAAAGTGATCCATCTTCTATAGGGAGACATGCTTGCTTCAAAGCATAGGAGAGCTTTGTAGAGCTCACCTTTCAGCAACATTCTCCAATTTCATTACAAATTCAAGTGCAGTAGAGAATAGCAGATCCCAATTGTGGAGAGGCAGGTAAAGAATACTTAAAGCAACTTTAAGCAGGGTTGTAGGTCACAAACACAGAGAGCGACAACATGGAGTGGGCAGGAAGGAATGCTGTAAAGTGACCAAATATTTTTACTGACTCGCTTTTCCCTAATGAATGAAATTTCAAGCTCCTGCCCTTTGGTATTTGGCCACTAAGTAGTTACGTACAGTGTATTCATTGAAAGATTATTGTTCTAGGACAGAATGTCACTGGCTAGGTTAATCAACAAATTCCTACAGAATAACTACAGCCAAATTAGGCTTGTGCGCCGAAGATGAATTTGGAAGCACCTTATAGATCCCAATGAAACACTTTCTTACATGCTCTTCTCCCCCCATCCACATTGCTGCTCAAATGTAAATGTATACATTCATTCATTTTTCACTGGGAACTCAAGACTGTGGAACTCTGGCTTTCAAGCTGCCTACAATCTATTGCCTTTCACAATCCAATCATTGTGTCACCTTCACCACCACTATTTGATATATATATATATCATTTTCCCTCCTACTCTTTTCAACCTTGGTGATGTCCTGCACCAAGGGCTTTGGCTCTCAGCCTAGGTTTTCCAATATTAACGGCAGTTCACAAGCATACCCAGAGCAATCATTGATTACAATTGGACAATGTACAATGTCTGTTAAAAGCACAAAGAAGTAATGATTGTGGTTAAATTGAGAGTGTGGAGCTGTATTGAACCCTACAGACCAGGAAAGTCCCACTAGCTTGATCTTTGCTCTGTGTATACTCTGTCTGGCCTGAGCTTTGGGAAGAGGTAGATGGCAGGCAGAGCGCTTGTTCCTGATAACTGTCCAGCAACTACAACCCTCTTGAAAAGTGCAATTGGATTATAGGTAAGAGGGGATGTAGTTTACCTAAACCCATCAACATTGGAATAGTGAATAGCTAGCCAATACACACTGACAGGAATCAAATATGAAGACAATTGAGTAAAGTCCCAAAGGACTGAAAGCACCTGTGAAACTGTAGACCAGCACAAATCACTGTCAGAAGGGGAAGGAAAAAGATTTTGAATGTGCTCAGACTTGTAGAAAAATAAATGTATTTCAATACAGTTGCTGCCACTCCTTCATTGCATTTGTCAATGGTGGAGTGGAAGATGAAGACGAGTACAATTCACAAAAAGGCACTACAATAATCCAAACGTCTTTCTGATCAGCATATTTTGTTGGACTTGTAAATTCATCGCACAGCCCCGCTGCCAGAATAGAGACTCAACGATTAAACCAGTGTGGTCAGACAAGCTGGAGATGCTACCTTTATGTTGCTGGCCTTCAATCTACTTGCCTTATAGGAAAAGTCCAAACAGCAAACACACTTTAAGCACAATGCTATTTACGTCAATCAGCACATTTACATACAACCACAAGTTATGTGGATGACTCAGTGGAATCTTGCATCACTAATGTACTGGGTTATCGACACTGCAGTTCAAGAGAACTTCCTCGACTAGCAACATTCATTTCTTTGAATAGGACACTGTGTACTGAATGTAGAACCTATTCATCAACTTCCAACACAGAGAGCAAAAAAAAACAAATTCAGTTTCTTGTATCCAAAGCAAGAGCCGGATTTAAACAGTAATAAAACATCCTTCAAATTTTTGATATTTAAACAAGGTAACAAAAGAGGACCATTCCCTCCCAAACTGAAACAGGTAAGTGTCGAGAGGACGTCCCAAGGCACTGGATGTGGGGGTCTACTATAATGTGGGAGTCTAGTTTTATGGACCAAAACACCAAGTTATAAAAATGGAGTCCTAACTGTATCTGAAGGACAATTGCCACAGTAAACCATCAATTGACTTGCAACAATTGGCGAGTTCAGAGAAGGACACAACTTAATGGAATTGTAAAATGATACTTACAGCGACTGTAGGGTAGAGAGTCCCTTCAGAGCTTCACTTGGGACAGTTTTCAATTGGTTGTTCTGAAGCATTCTGAAAATGGTAAAAGGCAAAGAGTTCAGAATCTTCTAACATGGATTCCAAGATTTCCACACAACTATGCGTCGTAGTATTGCTGCCATTAACCAGTAAACTCTCCTTTTCAATATTGTACCATAAAATTGTTAAGTTCAAAGCACTGCCTAGTTATAAAAATTACAAGAGAAAAAACATTGGACCAACGTAAAACTGTCAACATGTGTGTTGGTGGCTTGATCCCCTCCACTTGGAAAGCTTAATCTAGCTCACAGAATTGGCTGCAGGATAGCCTGACCACTAATCCTTTTGAGTACTGAGGTAGGATATCCAAGACTCAAAATAAAATTACACGACAGCAATGAATTCATTCCTAAGAATTAACAATGTTTTTCCAGTTCAGCATCTGATTTTTACGGGGAAAAAAACAGGCTTATTCACCTTTGGAAACATGCAAAATTGTAGCAAACATCAGGGTTCAAAAACTAGAGCTTAAAATCCTGGGACAAAAGTCACGATGAAAAAGACCTTGAAACATTTGCTTGATTCGGGGTTGAAATATATATTATTTTTAAAAAAAGATTCTGTTCATTTTACCATCTGCAAGATCGTTCGTTCATCAAACTTTATGAACTACCAAAAAAGGTTCAACTGCACAGAATATCGTGCATTTTCCTAAGTCATTCAATCCATTGCTCAGTCTATATGTGTTTGCCACATATATTGCAATTTACTTGTCTGTTCTGTCAATGTGTTTCAGTTGATACACAAAACAGCTGCAGTATGAGGACTTACATGTGTAACACAGCTAGTGAGTACTAGACCATTCACTGTAAATTATACCATTTTATATTGCTAACTTTATCTTTGCTTACCCTGCCAAGGCTCCAATTCAAAACACAACACCCAAACACAGTCAGGACTGGTCTACCTGTCATCTATTAAACAATGTTGGAATCTGATTATTTTGTGCAATGTCTGCAATGAAATGGATCAATAACAAGGGGAAGTACTTCCAATAAGAAGTCCCGCTCTCGACTTTCCTTCCCTTTTAATGTGTTGCTTCACCAAAGAAATATCATCGAGTGGTTAAAATACCCACTTTCTATTCAATGCAGAAATGCTCAAAGTCAGAACAAGATGGAAGAAAAAATTGTAAAACCACACAGCATATCTACGTTTTAAGAGTGCTCGTAAAATTTGCTTTTTGCACAGGAAAAGTCACAATATCCCATTTCCCTTGACCTACATAGCCTGCAGTTGCCTTGGAGTGAAGCCTAGAAAACAAACATAAAATGTATTCATGCAACGGTACTTCTCAATGCGTCCTAGGAAAGGAACGTACAAACAGAAGCCTGGCTCTCCTGAAACAGCCATCCACAAAGTCCCCTTCCCTGCGGGGGAAAGAAACTTGCCCAAGAAGGGCAATTCACCAAAGCTGCTACATTCTCAGTCCCTCCATCCAAAGCTGCTTTACTTACACCGTATCAAATACAAGGATTATAATTTTGCTTCATCTTGAAAAAACTCTAGCAGCAAGGGATTTGATTGCATCTACATCTACTGCAGCCTTGGCTATAAATCCCAACGACACGGGGAATAATTATTATTATTATTGAACCCACAGCCTTCTGACTCGAAAGTAAGAGTGCTTGCTGACAAGTGGGCCAACACATTGTGCTTTGAATAAATGCACGCAGTGAAAAGGATACCTTTGTTTGTGAAAATATTTAATACCGAGAGATGTACTTTGTTTCAAATAGTCAGTAAATCAGTCATACTTAATGGATTGTTAATACTAAATAGTAACATGAATCATTTGTGTACAAAACAAAGACAGTGCTTGAAATTTCCTGATGTTTCAAGAAAATTCCTTTCCCTGGCAGGCTGGTACTGATATTTGTGCATCAACATGCGGCACTGTGCAGCAGCAGGATGCAGGCTATCCCCATGACAGAATTTCTGATCTCAGCCAGGCCGTCCTGGGAAAATGACGGTAACTGAATCTGAACTTGCCAAGTCAAGGCACAAAGCTTTTCACATATGTCACTGTGCAGTTGTGCAGTATAAAGAAGCAGAAGCATGAAAATAGGATCAGAATGTAGAGGGTGGAACAAATGCAAGCATTCAGTTGAAAAAGGATATTTCTATTAATGTGAAATATCAGCATTTGTCAGGGGCTTAAGAACAACTTGAACTTGTTTAGTGCTGATGGCACAAGATAACATTGTGTAAATGCTTTGGAGTCTCTATTCTATTAAAGGCTGTTACTATCGTTATGGATTCAACATTTCAAAAAAAACACATGGCACAAGTTATCATCCTTGGCACTAGATGAGCTTCTGGGTTGCTGCCCATCTTGGATAGCCATCATAAACAAAGAAGGAGTTGCTGAATATGCAGTTGGGAGAACATACTGATACTTACAAAACTTTCAGTTGGTAGAGCCCAGAGAAAGCCTCGGGATGAATGTAAGACAGATCATTACCAGCCAATCGCCTGTAGAACAGAGAAATGTCACACGTAAGTCCAGAAACAAATCAGTACAGCAAGCAACCAGCCACCAACCCTGAAATTAACAGACAAGCCTTTGCAACATACTGGTTTACATGATTTAATTTGCAAGTCATCTAGTATTATACAGTTCTGGTTTGATGTTAAGACAGACACATCACCTGCTCCAACATCACAATATCCTTAGACACAAAGAAAGCCACAAGCAGATTTGAGATTTCTCATCACACCCCTCTCTCTTTCTTCCCCCCATCCTCCCACTACTGAAACAGGTATGGACTACTTGTAATCCTCTGCAATCATACCTGCTTTGGCATAGGAAAACCTAGTTTACAGTACTGTTTTGGCAGTAGGTTGTAAACAAACAAATTCAACTATCAATCCTGTAAAGAAAAAAAAATCAGCCAATATTCTTGAACAAATCTCTACGGTACTCAAGATGCATGAATGTTCTACCCAGTCAGATTCAGCTAGAGTCTGATTGCATGCAGTTGGGCTGCCAATTCTGAACTGTTTAGAGAGCTTGCATGTTGCGTTAAGCCTGTGTGAAGGTTTTGTGCCAGTCATGGTCATTTTGATCATCTTGTATATTTTGTTCTTTTTTTCTCTTGGTCAACTGGACTGCACTGACTACATGTCTAGCAAGAAGAGAGGATGGTTTCTGCGTCGTCTGCCAAACTTAGCTAAACTGAGCAGCAACCAGAAAATCAAACCTGGCACCTGTGTGAAAAGCTCAGCACCATACTACTGTACTTACTGCACAGTGCTTTATCCACTGAAGCACCAGGAGTATAATTTGTTGCTATTTGCTTGAAACACACACACAAATGGTTGATAGCAAGTACTAAAGTATGTAACCTGGGGAGCAGCTAGTATTTCCACAACTTTAAAAATGCGAACTGCTTTTCTGGGATGATGCTTTCAAAGGAGATTTAATTGGGGGATTGACCGCAATCCAACTGATTGCAGTGCTGCCCTAGGCGACAGATTTGTGGTGTCTGATTTAGAGACTATAAGTTCAGACAACCTCCAAATAAATGTTGTATTTAATAACTCCACCTTATCCACAATGGTACGTATGCAGCATTGTTTTTTTGTAATAGGAACAATATTGAGGTTGGGACCAAGGATAATAGGTTTAACCATCTCTTACCGAAGCCAATCATGACATTGAAACTCATTCCTGGAAATGCAGCTCTGGACACGATCAAAGCTTCTCACAAAGGGACCATTTGTAAAGAGCAGCTTTCACCTGAACCTCCCCATATACCAAACCATTCCATCTTTTGGGTAAAGCTACAACAGATTTTCCGTCAAGCTGGGGCTGCAGGCTACTCTATAGCACGCAACCTAGTCTGAGTAACCTGGGCCAAACGAGGTCTGGATCTTTGGACGGGAGGATGGGAATATCATTCCAAAGCAGCCACTTCCTGCTTGAGAACAATCCAATTGGCCTGGTTATTCAGCCAAACCTTACGCCTGCTGTTCCTTTCAAAGTACCGCAAATGGTCACTAAGTAGTGGCCAGACTTGCCAACACTCGCTTTGTTGAATGCTTTCAGGCGATCCAAGATCGTTGGTCAATGCAAAGTCTAGGTAGACACTGTCCCGAATTGGGGAGAGAAATCAGCTGACTGATAATAATAACCCTTGCAATTGATATAGCGCTTTCACGTCTTCAAGACGTCTCCAGGTGCTTCACAGAATATACTGTAAAGTGAATTGACTGTATATTTTGTGGGCAAAACAGGGCAGCCAATTGCACACAGCAGTGTCCCACAAACAGTCATGGATTGAGTGACCAAATCCTTAACCTCTACAAAAGAGGGCACTACAAAGTCAAAGTGAATTTGGGGTTTTCTGCTTCCTTTTAAAATCACCAAAGAACAACAAAAAAATGTTGGGGGCTGTCAATTCGGTGATCTAATTCTATTGGTATATGACAGGTCGGCACAAATGGAGTGGTTTAGCAGTAAATCATAAAAAGGTTACTAGAGGTTGACAACTCACAGAAGCAATAGAAGGCAATTTCTAGGCCATAGTCCCGCCAATTGAGACGATAGTTTAGTTTGCCACCAGCTCCATTAAGAGCAATAGGAGACAGCGACTAGGCCTGGATTGTCAAAAGCTGCAACCACAAGCGAGAAATGGCAGGCTGGCTCAAAGGTCACAAATGTTTGTGAAATGTAAACGTATGATCCATGTGCATAAACAAAAGTCAGAACCACCCACGTCTAAAGCTGGCTGCACAGTGCAGAGGGTTCAGGGACATTCTTTTCACTACTTTGGAGGTGGAATCTGAAACCGAGGGCACAGCTCCCAATTGGCAAAAAGCAGCCAGTTCCTGAACGAAAGACATACTGCATTAACTCTATTTTTTCGTTGTTTTCCTTCAAATTCACAACTCATAAACATTAATCTTAGCATTTGATAAACAAACCTTATTATGATGTTGAGATTGTTCAAAGGGCTTCAAGGATTTTAACTGTAAAATGTAGTGACTGTATATTTGTAGGCGAACAGGAATGTCCCACAAATAACCATGAAATCTGGGAGATTGTTGCTCACGACACAGGGAGAAACTCCTTTCACTTCTCAAATGATGTCTTAGGATCTTTAACGTCCACTTGAACAGGCAGAAGGGACCTCGCTTTGATGTCTCACCCAAAGTACGGGACCTCCAACAATGCAACGCTACCTCAGCACTGTATTGGATTGTCAACCTGGACTCGACTCAGGGCAACCAGTCAATGAGCTTCTGGAATCCTCTTCCTAACAACGACATCCATTATGCTGCACCCACACAGATGCTGTTTCTGCTTCCCTACTTTGCTACGTTGCGTTTTCAGTAAGTGGAGACAGAAAAATTTAAGCAAAAACACAGACACTATCACTTCGGTCATTTCAGTAGCATTATAGTTTTCTGCATTTCTCCCTTTGGCAGATTATTTATCGGAAAAAAATTCTGCACTAGGATGTGTAATGTGACTTGACTCCACGTCGCCCCTATTTCTGCATTCCCCTAAACAGCATCTAGTGTACATACATACTGTTTATCAGAATCAGCTCTGCAATATCGAAAGCTGACGGGTCTGTGAAACTTGCCCCATTTACGCTGTTGGTGGAATTTGATGGGAGCCCAGATTGACATGACTTTGTGCGTACCAAACAGAGCTGGGTGGAGAAGCCTACCCTTCAAGGCAGTAATCTGCACCATTTTATTTCCCTCGGAGTGCCTTTGCTGACTGCAGAGCAGCTGCCGGGGCAGTGCTGCAAGATAAAGAAGGCACGAGCCCTGTTGAAAACACTCAAAAGATAAGAAAGGCAGTCGGTCGGTCACTGGCCACATCACTTGTATTCAAGTTGAAACTCTACACTTGCCAGGACCTCCAGAATTCAAAGCAGAAGCCACCTTAAAGCCTTGCCATCCTGCCTTTGCCCCAAACCTGCTGCTCACGATAGCAAGCACGCCTCAAATCAGTCAGTTCCTCTATTGATCCTGCTCCGATTTGTCACGGGAAGCACAACACGATGCCTGCACCACAAATAGAGGGAACGCTGTAAAGCTCAGCTGTTTTCTATCAGTGGCCAAGATGGTTAAGGCAGACGGAAGCCCGTACATCTGTTTGTGATGGGGAGGAGAGAGAGCAAGTTTACTGAGCAAGAGCTAACCAACAGTCTACCCAGCCATGTTTCAAGAATGGGATGTTTGTAGTCAGCATGCGTCTGTGGTTTTCTGCCTGACCATGGTTAGATGACTATTTAGATATGCATATGCTTCTAATCAGTTCATCGGTCTCTGCAGTTGCTTTCAAACCAAGAAGCTACAGACAGTTCCCGGGTGTGGCATAAAAATAATACTATATACAGTAATAGACATGACAGTCAACTTATCAGCACATTCCATCTTCATCTTAAAGGGCTATAAACAGTTCCAGAGAAACGGCCAATGACTTAATGCAGGTTAACGAACAAGCCCCACAGGATTACAAAGGAGGGGACTTCCTGTGGTGTTTTACCAATTGAAGCTTCAGATTCTTAATGGACTGCAACAATGCTACCCTTTTGACTCATGTATTCTTTGGATTACTAGTTAACATATTTCATCCATTCCTCTGATCCTGATAGGCACATGCTCTTCTTGCAGCGGGGGTCACTGGTTAGTAATTAGGAGCAGGAAATTTTCCTATTCTTGGTCCACAGATGTTTGGGTTCAAACCACTGTCTGGCTGAGATCAACCAACTAACTCAGCAAAAACCTGGGGCCTTTCTGATCTGTATGGAACAACAGCAATGTTTTTCTGAACAGAACCATCAGTAGAGCTACCAAATAACATCTTTCATCTTTCACTCTTTAATCATGCCTTTGGTCCCATACCCACCCCAACCCCTTGGCCTCCACCCCTCTCAAATCCAACCCCCAGCTTGAGATCAAACTCCTGACTGCCCAGCGTCTTAGCATGTCCTCCTGATGTGAAAGGCGCTATATAAATGCAATTTGCTGTTATTGTTTTATACTGAATCCAATATTTCATGGCCTGTTGCATCTCTTCCCTATCCCACTGACTTGGGACTTGTTGGCTAAAGGAAAGCAGTGTATGGTACGCCTTTCGCTCGGATTAAAAGTTCAAGCATGTTTTTTGGCAAGAATGCAAAGATTATTTCGGACAGTTCCCACAACCCATAATCACCAAGCAGTAACTTTTAAAGCATTTTTCCAGCATTGCCTAACCAACATTAGATAGGAAAAAACATTGTGTTATGGGCTTCCAATCTGCATACCAAGCACAGTAAAAAAGTATTTATCCACATGCCAATTGACTGCATGTTTGTTCAACTGCATAGGTGCAAAGTGATGAATTATAGGCAGAAATATAGGTTATGTTCAAGATTGTAGTTTGGTTTCCAAGTAAACCCAAACTTGTGCGCAAACTCTGCATATGCCACCAACAGTATTTTGTTTGCCTGTAACAAGGGTAAGTCTTT